AAAGTTGTTTGCAAATTGAATGTTGTTGTTGTTATTTGTTGGTGCTGCTGGTGCTACGTTGCTGTTGAAATGAGAAAATAAAAGAATTTATTAGTAATTAGACATTTCAAAAATATTTAAATTCTTAGCGGTTTTTTGAAATTTAAACATTACATGAAATTCAAAATTTTGAAAACCGTTTAAGATTCGAATTCGAAAAAGCCGTTTCGAGCGATTGCAGAAATTAACTGAAATGAATCAAGACAGAACCGAGTCTAACGGCTTTTAAGAATCAAATAAAAGAACCAAAATGAAGTAAGACTGACCACGATTAATAAGAAATCATGTATTTATCAGTATTTATATTATAATCATAAAAGAAAGTAAATTCAACTGAAATGAACAGAAATCAATTTTAAACGATATAAAAGTTTCTTCTTACTTTACGGCTGGTGTCATTTGAGCCGACTGTTTAAGCTGTTTAATCTCCCTTAAAGCCCAATTACATGTTGATTTTGTGCGAGTTGTGGTCGATTTCTTGCCTTCCATCAACATCGGCATAATAATATTGTCTTCAAGAATGTATGGTAATAAAGGTGTTCCAAACGCTAAACATAAATCTCCAATCAGACCAGCACAACTTGTCATTGTTGTCTCGGCCAAATCAGTGTCGCATGCTGCTTTCACAATATACTTAATAATCATTGGAACGTGGTTTTGAAGAAGGAGAATATCTTGATTTGGTTTTGAATCAGTTCCTTTTAATCCTTGAACAATTCCCGTGAATGCTTCCAATACACTTTCGCGCAATGAGCTCAAATAGTCACGCATTTCAAAATCTTTTGTGTCACATTGAATTTCCATGACTTGTGAGAGAACTTGAAGGACGGGACTTAAATATTTCTTAAATTCACATCCAACACTAAGTGCAATGTCACCGAAAACACTCAAAACTTGTGGCTTAACGTCACGATGAATGTCTGGATTACTAAGATTTTCCATAAGCATATTCATGATTTCATCACAATATGGCAAAATGGCAATTTTCAAAGCACGTGCAATGTCGCCAACTAATCCAATAGCAACAGAACAAACTTGATAATCTTGGAAGTTCTTTAAAGCCATGTACAAGAATGGCTTAAACGCTTCCATATATTTAATGAAGTTCTCATTCATCAGATCACACAAGTTGGAGACAGCCATTAATGCGTCTTCCTGTACGCCACCAGCTTTACCAGAATTAGAATTGAACATCATTAAGAGTGCACTCATAATAGCATCCGATACAGCTGGTGCATCTTCAGGCTTAACTTTACGAAGTACAGATTGTAATGTTGCACACAATGATGACTGTATATCCTGGATTCTTTGACGATCATTTGGTGCAATCATATTGTCCATATTCAAAATTTGATTTAATCTCTCTAGGATAACCATTGTTGTAGATTGTACGGTCTTATAGCAATCACTTGGTGAGTTTTTAATCATTTCCATTAATGCTTCATAAGCAGCAGCACGTAAATTTGATTGACCACCATCTGGTCTGTCTGTTGTTTCAAGTAAACGCTGGACAATATATTCAAAATATTTTGATAAACAATAAGTTTCTGGATCGTCTTCGTCCATAAGTGCAGCGTCATAAGCAGCTTGTGATAATCCAGTAAATGCCCAACAGACATTAGATGCGACACGTGCTTCAGCTTTCAATTGCTGTAATAAAGCTTGAAGTAGTGGCTCAAGGAATTGTGGATCAATAACAGCTTGTGGAATCACTTCACATATTCTACCAATTGTCCAAGCTGTTGTATCACGAACAATTACATTAGTATCGTACATCAATTGAATTAATGTTGGCATAGCTTGTTCAACAAGTGGTTTTAATGTCTGTGCCTCAAGTCCACCCAAAATGGAACTGAAAACCATCAATGCAGCATCTCGATATCTCCAATTTTGACTCTTAATATTCTCAGTGATGAATGGAAGGACATGTGGAACAATATCATCTTCACAGCATGTTGCGAGCAACATAAGACAGACACTAGCTGATTTAGATGGATTCCAATCGTCATCGTCATCATGTTCTTCCTGCTTAGTTAATTTCTCCATTAAAACTGGTGCTAAATATTGAAGTGCACCTCTGGCGTAGTGCCTTGAAACATGCTCAGGCGTTTGACCTGCATTCTTTGCTTCCTGTGACTCAATCGACAAGTCAATTTCCTCATCGCATACATTCGACCAGAACTCAATACCTTGAAGTGCAACTTGATCATTTTCGGACTTCATGGCCTCTAATGTTATTGGAAATAGTGCCTGACCCATATATGCTTCCATAAATTGATAATATAATGTCATTATTTTAACTAAACACTGTAATGCTGCGACACTAATTTGAATGTCAGTACTTTGTGTTGCCTCACAAACTACTTCCATAATGAAATTTCTCTCGGAATCCTTTTCGAAATTGGCTTTGGTGAATTCTAATGAGTTAAGCAGTGCATTTGTCGCTGCTAGTCTTACATGATTACTTGGTTCCGTCTTACGCATTCCGTGAATGATTGCTGTGAGAATGGCATTTGATTGTGGCTCCAAAACCTCAGAGTTAATGTCTTGACAAATGTATCCAATTGTTTCCAATGTTGCTTCCCGTTCCATCTCTGTTGATCGCTCATTAATGACATTATTAACGAGTGTTTGTACGAGATTTGGCCATTGACCTTGAGGAAGTTCTGTAACCGCGACATATGCAACACATTGGGCAGCAGATGATGGTCTTATACTCTCAGTTCCCAATGCAGCTAATATCTATGTACATAAAGGACAATTTAATAGTCAAATAAAGACAAAAAAAAACAATAAACTTACATTTTTCTTAACATAATTCCTAATGTCTTCCGGTAGTTGAAGCCATTGTGCCTGAAATTTGAGTTTAACATTTTCGTCTTTGCTTGTCAATTGATTTTTTAGTTGTAATCCAGCAGCCATACGCGAGACCGGAGAATTTCCAGGATGTGCAAGCACATCTGAGAGTGCCTTAAGGAAATCCGGATGATTGTTTGATGCTGCTTGTTCCAGAAAATGCTGTGCTCCTTCAAGCTCATTTTTATCTACGTAAATTAACAGGAAAAATTGTAATAAATAAAGTTTTGTGAATCATAGGAGAAAATATTCGAATGTTCTCATGGTCATCATTTACTGACTGCTGTCTATGTCTGAACATTTTTCTCAGTCGACATGTTGTGTGTGTGTTTGTGCATGTATATACACAAGAAAAACAAGAAGAAAATTGATTGTTGCTAAGGAACAATAAACGACTAAATATGTTAAGGAAGGCTATTTTAAATCATAATTGAAGTCTACTGAATAAGCTAGTGCCATATAATGAGCAGAAAGGACGAAATTTATTCATGAAAATTTGACTGTAAAGCGCGCAAAACTAATACAACCAAAGAAATAAATTTTTAACCAACTTTCTCAGTTATTTAACTACATCCCAACTATTTCAATCATCAACTATAATAATGAGACTTGCATTAATGCATTGCATAGTCCAAAAGCTCATTATATTTAAAAATTGTGGCTTTTCACACAATTTTTACAGGTCGGCCATAAACGAGAATTTTTTTGCGAAATTTCCTTTCTGAAGATTTTTCTTTTGCAATTTTCACCGACTTACCTGATGAAACAGTTTTCTCCAATATGTTTATAAGTTCCATCGTCATGTTGAGTAAGATTTTATGTATTTTTTGGAACTAATTATGCACAATATCGCACTTTTTAAAAGATTCTTCTGATTTTCAAATGCCTTTAAATTTTTTTGAGTGCGTTTTTGATGCGGAGGCTTATTTTGAATTTGAAAAAACCGTTGTGTTAAAGCGCATTTTTGGGATGTTATGGATGTTTTGATGACGGTTTGTCTTATTATAGAAACTCATATTCATTTGATACTTTATATAGATGGAAGGTAGAATAATCAAGCAGATTGATGACTCTGGGCACGAAAATGAGCTTAAAAGTGACAATGATTGTAAAAATTTTTCTCTTGTGAAGTATAGTAAATAAGCAGTTAAGTGCCTTGCTGGTCGAATAGGTAAGGCGCTTGGCTCAAATTTGGTATGGTAACTCGAAGGTCGTCGGTTCGAATCCAGCCATTTCCAAATTTGTTCTTTTTCAGAAGTTTAGATACTTCGACTGCTTAATGTACGAGATCAAGCCATAATTGGGCATTTGGGCAACGTTGGATTAAGGAACGAGTCAGAAACTTGAAGTGTAGCGGGAGAAATAGGAACGAGAGCTACAAGATTACCTCATAATGGAATATTGTCAGAACGGATCTGAAATGTATCACGTCACGCCCACAGAAGATTGAAACGAGAGCCTGAATTTAATCGAAACCTGGATTTGAAGATTAGAAGCTTGATTCTACGTCACCCATAGTGATATGAAATGTATCACTAATCAATGTAAAAAGTATAACATGTATATACTAATTCTTCCAGACGGTAACGTCAATAAATAAATAATAATAAAATAATAATAAGAAGTTTAAAAATCTTAAGTATCATTTAAAAAATTATGTTTGTAGCCTTGAGGTTCTTAGAATCTTAATTGTAGAATAACATTGAGCTTTAAAAATGCGCTTATGACAATCACAAGTAGGAAAAACTCACCTTTTCACCAAAATAACGTATTTAATGTGAAATTACGAATTATTACCAAATTTTCAACGACATTTCAGCAAGATTATGAAATAAGTGAACTATGATTGGTTGAATATTTTCACTTTTTGTGCTGATCCCACCAATCATGATCTTTCTACCATAAAGACTAAAGCATGCTTGATGACAGCTCTTCAGTTATATCTAAATTCACAACAGTCTAGATCTGAGATAAGCATAGATCCAGTTCTTTGTACATAAGTCATAGCTGCTTCTTTCTGCAATTAAAAGAGCTAAACTCAATTTCATTACATTTTATTTAATACAATAACTCAACCTGAATCCAGACAAAACGCTACAAGCTTACAAAAAATAATTTAATACTCTATGACAACTTTTCCTCTCAAATGACCACTATATACTTTCTCGTAAGCCTTAGGAAGCTCACCATATGAGAATTTCGAGTCTATTATCGGTACAAGCTGTTCCTTTTCAACAAGTTTAGTCAAATATGAAATTCCGTTCTTTAATGGAACAAAGTATCCCCATTTAACGACTCCATTACTATATAGAGCACTAATGTTCTGTGACAGCAAGTCTTTCAAGTTATTTAATCCACCAAAAAGCATTCCTTTCTCATCAAAGTTCTTCAATAGTGGTGACTTGAATGTGACATAATTTTTAAACTTCCATGGATGTACATTAGCATATTCAGCACCTTTGGATGCACAATCGAGGATTAAGTCATAAGGAGATTCATCGATTAGAATTTTATCACTTTCAACTGTTGTATAGTCGATGACTTTGGACACTCCAAGATTTTCAACTAATGGAACTGCATTTTGTGAGCATGTTGTAAGCACTTCAGCACCTTCTGCTTGTAAAATTTGAATAGCTATATGTCCAACACCGCCTGCACCGCCGAGCACTAGTACTTTCTTGCCAACTCCATTGCCTTGAACTGAACTGCACAGCAAACCAGAAAGTCCATTAAGTTGTGCTGATAAAAATATTCCAGAATAAGCTGTTAAACCAGCATAAAGTATTGCAGCCGCTTCTACGTCACTAATGTTTTTAGGCTTTTTCGATACATAACAGCTATCAACAGCCACAAACTCAGAATGACATCCCTGCTTTTGAACTGGAACTACTCCCCAAATTTTATCACCTATTTTATAATCTTTATTATCTAGTCCTTTATGTACGACAGTTCCTACAAAGTCTCTTCCGAGTATTAATGGAAATTCTATGTTATCTGTATTGCATCTAATGGAATTAAGAAAAGCCGATCCATATCCATTTATCATTGCAACATCCAGCGGATTTACACTGCTTGCATCTACTTTGACTAATAGCTCTTTTGGTGACCTAATGTAAGGCTTTTTAACATTTTTCGAGAATTGCACTTCGTCTAATTCACCATATGAATGAATTTGCCATCCTTCAATAGTCAGAATAGATTAATTAACATAGAATTGGCAAAATTTATCGTTTTCTCACCTGACATTCGTGGATATGATTTTTCTGCTGTAGATTCTTTAATTGCAGTCTTGGTTGCATTGCAGAATGTTCGTTTAATTAGCAGAAAACTGCTTAATTTCCTCATTTTTGATAGAAACGTCTCAAATAAAACTGTAAATAAACAAATACAATCAAAGGCTCGTTTTTACATGTTCACTAATACAATGATAAATAATTCAAAAATCATAAGTTCGTTATTTTAAATATTTATTTTGATGATGCATCTTTCACGTGTTGATCACTCAATATCAGTTGCTGTCTGCTGAATTTTGAGGTCCTGAACCATCTGATTAAATAATAATTCGAGTAAATACACTACATTGTTATGAAATGATTATTTAACAGCCCATACATCAAGCGACAGCTAATAATGAAAAAGTATGAAGGACATGCTTACAACAACAATAAAGAAAATGTTTTGGAAAAGCCTGGAAAAATTCTCATTCGCATTAGAATCTTCAACGCATTCAGTTCATCGCCTGACTTGCTGTAAAAGCTTTGACAAATTAATAAATATTATTTTTTTGTGTGCCACAATCAATACAACTGCTGATTTCCTTAAAGCTTACTTGACAGTATAGTCTGTATTTATTTTTTGCGCACACATATACTTGGATAGCTAACATACGATTTGCGAAAAAAAGGGAAAGACGAAAATTATTCAAAACCAAGCAGCTCTTCAACGAAATAATTCATTTTACTTTTGATCGTCAGTGAATTCAGATCTCTTCTCAAAATAGATAAGCTGATAATAAATTTAAAATAAAATAAATTAAAAAAGTGAAATAAATTTTTATTGATTAAGTTGGTGGAGAAAAAACACAAAAAATCAGGTGAGTAAAGACATAAATGTGCCATCGTATGATGTGCTTGTTATGTCTGAAAAAGTGCATTTGTGACATGAATTCGAAGAAAATGTGGAAGATACAGAAAATGAAAAAAAAAAACAGTCATACGATAAGCCGTGATGATCATACGATATAGTTGGAAGAATAACGACTTAATTTGCCAATTATTAATGCTTTTCATTGTTGGATAATTTAAAATAAAAAGTATTGTGAGTGGATATCCATTTTGTGACATGCTAAGTCAGTTGCTATCGTGAAAATTACTGTGAATTTTTAGAAGTGCTTAAGCGTGTTCTGATGCTAATCGACGTGGTCTCAGACAAATTTTATCTGTCGCAGACATAAAAAACAGGCTCTTGATCTGGGGTTGATTTAATAGAGCTTCCATCCCTCCCCCTCTCCCATCCTTCAATTTTACTTTAAAAATCTTCCATTTTCCGTTGAAATCCCTGGCAAATTAAAGATAAGTCCAAACCCCAGTTCATACCAACTCTGCAATAAAAAGCAACATAATTCGAATTAAATTCACAAGATTATTTCATCATCACGCTTCCTACAGATGCCAAATTATAAAGAGGTCTATACACTCTTTCGATCAACGAGTCATAGTCGTACGTCTGATGACAACAACCAATGATAACAAAGGAGATTCCCAATAGAATCTAATCTCGCTCATTTTTGTGTGTTTTTATTCCGCACGCGATAAGGTTCCAATTTAACGGCAATCTCCGAGGCTTTATAAAAATAATAATCAATAGCTGAGAAATATTGTCAACAAAAAACATGAAATTGTAGCATCAAGATTATCAGTTGTGGAAAAGTTTGTAGCTAGGTGGAATTGATTGGATTTTAATTTTGGAGTAGCAATATGTTATAATTTATTTAGAAGTTGCTTGGAGTCATGATTTCCATTAATATGTAACTAGACACTTGCTCATGTACTAAGTTGGACATACTAAAGAGTTTTAATGCGGTAAAATTGTGAAATTTTAGGATTGATATTTTTCAGATTAGTAATGTTGATTTGAAAATAGCTTTTGTAGAAAAAGATGCAAAAAATTCTGCATCAAAAGTATGTTCAGTAAAAAAAGATGCAAACTTTTTGCTTCAAAGTGTGTTTAGCAAAAAAGATGCGAAATGTTCTAAATGAATAAATGAAAGTAGTTTTCATTAAAATCACCTTCAATTGAACTCTAAAAATGCATTCGACATGAAAATCGAAATTCTTTGCGTCATTTCACAAAGTTCTAATTGATTTTCAATAGAAATTAACCTTGAAACGAATATAGCGACTAGAAAAAATGAAAAATCTGACAATGCATTGACGCGATGAAATGAAAATCAAGGACAACTTTTATGTAATTTTCAGTGATAAGAATTTTGATTACCTTTGTGTATTGAATGGAAGTTTTTTCGATGAGTTCAGCACATTGAATTTTTTAAACTGACACTTTACATCAGCAAAGATCGTATGACGTGGTTACTATCGTTAGTGTAAAATTTAATGAACTATCTAGTCTACAACTATGAACCGTTAATTATCAATAATCAATTCGTTATCAGTGAATATTTTTGCTTATGCAACAATAATTTTTCCTACATTGCTCTCTCTCTCACTCTCGCAGTGGCTGTTCTGAAATTTTCAATGTCAATGACAAGATTTTATTTGCATGCACACTTTATTTTGTTATAAATGATTCGCAAACAAGTATTGTCACTAAAGCTTAATAAAATCTAATAAAATTAAATTTGTGTTTGCAGTGCGATTGTGTTACTGCTTTTCGTGGATTTTCCTGTATCGCCTGGATGTCTACAATTGATTTTAATTTCAGTCTAGGTAGCTTAAAACTTGTTTTGAGAACCTCGAGTTTTTTTTGGATAAATTAGTTTTGTTTTGAATCTGTAAGCTTAAAAAATACTGTCAAGTCATAGCTTATATGCATTGACATCACAAGCCGTTATTAAGACAACACAACAAGCTTCAAATATTTGCTTAAATAACAATTAATTAATTTAAATGACTCAACTCTTCGTGGAAGAAATTCATTCATTCCCACAGCGAAAGAGAAATTGTTTTGGCTAATTTTTTTGCATGCAGCATAGGATGGAAAATAACAGCATACGATACATAAGAAAACAAAAAGTTGGGAACAAAAGAGATGAGAAGAAAAAAAAAAACAGCAATTTTCGACAAACCAACAACAATTTGTTGTAAACATCCAATACAGTCTCATAAAACGTGAATCACCTGATAGTCGTATGATCATTCTATAGTAAATTACAGCGCATGTTCGTTATATGCCGGGTTTAGATGTATTTATGCAAAATTAAGTATGCTTGTGTTTATTATACACTCATTCATCCCTTTTGAATTCATGTACTTAGTGTATATGCTGAGCAATGCTGAGTATAATAGTCGTGGCTATGAGAATTAATGAGATTGACAGAGAGAATTAATCAAAAAAAAAATTTGATTTCATTCATTAATTTTTAGTCTATGCTGTATTAATGCGGTGAAAATTAATAGTTGAGTGAGATATTTTTCAAAGTTGGTAACCTTGGAAAGGAGCCTCAATTCATGAGTGGTTTAGACCTGAAGCTATCCTAGTTTTACACAAAGATTGTCGATTAGGTTTAAGCATTAAATCTTGGACCTGCTCCTCAATCTATTTAATGGGACATATTAGTTCCTAGTCACTAGCGATAAGTGACTAGACTAGCTACTGAACAGAATATTGTGTCGACAAACTCTCTTACTTAAAATTTGTATAGACTCGTCAAGACCTAGGACCATGACAAATGTTCAACTTTTTGAATAGTTCTTTAATTTTGGGCTTCGGAAATGTGATGCTTGAGATTATTGACCTTAAATTTAAAATATTGCAATATCCCTGTAGATGTTGCAAATCTAGACGAGAGAGTCGTGCAGAGAGATTACTTCTTTCGAGAACCCTCAATCCAGCTTGGTTTTAGTATACACATACAACGGATACAACGCTGACATTGACTTGCCTTTCAAATTTCTTTGTCATACATCCAAAACTGGCCTTAATTTAATATTTCACATTTGTTAGGACGTAGAAAGAAAAATAACTGGCATGAAATGTATCGTACGATACAAATATTTTTTGGAAGTATAGCTTGTTGACAGTACAAATTTCCCCTCACGTTTTTCATTATTGCTTCTTAGGGATCGTTCACTTGTGATGTCCGAAATTAACGGTCATTTTTCACAAAAGAACAATGGATTTCTTGGAATTTCTATTGTTCTTTTCTTGCTGACCCCCCCCCCCCCCCCCCCCCCATAAGTGAACGGCCCCATATTGGTCAGCAAATTTCAAATTTTTTTATTAATGTTGCAATAAACAAATAACAGCATGTAATTAGCAATGAATTGTTTATCCATGTCCGTAATGTTATGGATATTAAAAGAACCTGAATTACTCTAGTCATTTAGCGTCAGGCAATAGAAAAAGAACTTAAAAAACAATGAAAAGTAATAATAATAACACAAATGGTGAGGCATCGGACGATTCAACAGCCCATCCAATCCTCACACGGCATTTACTTCTTCTCTCTTTTTTTTTTGTTCCGTAAAAATTATTGACGTCAGAGGTTGCAAGCAATCAAGAAGCTATTTGTACTTCAAACAAATCTTTGAGGTAGTAAAACTAGCAGTCTTCAGGATTTACGTTGTTAATTCCATTTGAATAATACGAAGTCACTCTTCATAGGTGATAATTTGTTTACGATTCTCCTGCTTAACTGACGCAAACTTTTTTCATGACCTACCTCAAATTTTTATGTTTCATACAATTTTTGCGTATATGCAGACATGTATTTAGAATATTTTGGTTTATATCTGTCAATGAACTCAACTGCGTCAATTTTCAGTGAATCCCCATGACCTCATATCCAAATTAATCCCATTTATTGCACTTAATAGGATTCCCTATTCATCCACAATTGAGCATGTAATAGAAATTGAGAAAATAAAGCACATCCATCATCTATTATCACTTCGTTTGCAATAATAAATTATCAGCAGTGAAAAATTGTTCTCATTTGAACCTTTTATTGCGTAAATGCATTTAAGCTTGCATCTGTGAAAATCTTTTCTGCATCGTCCATAGAAAATTATCACAAAATCAGCAGGAAACTAATCAATTCTCATTTATTTTTCAGATTAATAAGCTACAAAAAGCTAGAAATCAAATTCATTAATTATCAGTCGTTACTGAAAAACCGTTCACAACAGACGAATACGTTTGTAAAGCCACACGTGTCCGGTGATTGTTAAACATTCCGAATTCTCAGAAGCAAAAATTTCGCAATCGAAAGAAATCACGACGAAAGAATCAAGAGAATACAGAGATGCCAGCCCGATTCGAGGAGTCAATGTCTGACACAAGACGTAGCGTTCCTTCATCCATGATGGACCTTAACATGAGTGAACGACGCTACTTACATCAACAGCAAATGATACTAGATGACATCTGCATCACTGGATTTTCTGGACGACTCCCTGAAAGCTCAAGCATTGATGAATTTAAAAAGAATTTGTTTGATGGTGTTGATATGGTAAATGATGATCCGAGACGATGGGCAGCTGGATTACATGACCTTCCAACACGAACAGGAAAGATTAAAACTGATGATTTACAGAATTTGGATGCACAATTTTTCAAGCTTCATCAGAAACAAGCTGAATGTATGGATCCACAATTAAGAATGCTCCTTGAATGCACATATGAAGCAATTATTGATGCTGGAATTAATCCTCAAGATATTCGTGGTTCTAGAACTGGTGTTTATGTTGGAGTTTCAAATTCGGATAGTGAAGAATTTTGGTGCCGTGATCCAGACGTTGTTAATGGCTATGGATTGACTGGATGTGCTCGTGCTATGTTCGCCAATCGAATCTCTTTTACTTTTGACTTCAAGGGACCTAGTTATGCGGTTGACACAGCTTGTTCAAGCTCATTGTTTGCAATGGACCATGCTTTTCGAGATATAAGATCTGGTCGATGTGATGCTGCTATTGTTGCTGGTGTTGGACTTATTTTCAAACCTACTATGTCACTTCAGTTCAAGCGACTCAATATGTTGAGTCCTGATGGTAAGTTAATGCTTAATTTCGTTGTTGAATATACATTTAATTGACATTCTTATTCTCAGGTGCATGCAAAGCCTTTGATGAATCTGGTAATGGATATGTTCGAGCTGATGGATGTGTTGTAACATTCCTTCAAAAATCAAACGACTCAAGACGTATTTATGCAACAATTCTCAATGTTCGTACCAATACAGATGGAGCAAAGGATCAAGGAATTACATTCCCAAATGGACAAATGCAAAATCGTCTTATTCGTGAGACTTACGAGGAAATTGGACTAGATCCAAAAGACGTTACTTATGTAGAAGCTCATGGAACTGGTACTAAAGTTGGTGATCCTCAGGAAGTTAATTCCATCTGTGACTTCTTCTGCAAGGATCGTGAAACTCCATTGTTGATTGGATCTGTAAAATCTAATATGGGACATTCCGAACCAGCATCTGGAGTTTGTTCTATTGCCAAAATTTTGATTGCCATGGAAGCAGGTGTCATTCCTGGAAATTTGCATTTCAAGAGTCCAAATCCTGATCTTTATGGAATTATGGATGGAAGAATGAAGGTTGTTGATAGAAATATGGAATGGACTGGTGGAATTATTGGCTTGAATTCTTTTGGATTCGGTGGTGCAAATGCTCACGTCATCTTGAAATCGAATCCAAAGCCTAAATCTATTGGAACTATTGGAGAAATTCCAAGACTTGTTGCATGTTCAGGACGTACAGAAGAAGCTGTAGAAACACTTTTAAAAGAAATTGAAGGCAATAGAAATGATGAGGAATTTTTAGGTCTCATTAATGAGATTCATGCTAAGAACATTCCACTTCATTACTACCGTGGATATACAGTTATGCAATCTGATGGAACAAATCAACGTGAAGTAACTGAATATCGTGATGAGAAACGACCAATTTGGTATATTTATTCTGGAATGGGAAGTCAATGGGCAAGTATGGCTAAAGAGATGATGAATGTTGATGCTTTCAGACAAGCTATAAATAAATGTGCTGATGTATTAAAGCCTGAAGGTGTTGACTTGATTGATATTCTTACAAGATCTGATGAATCCAAATTTGACAATATTTTGAACTCATTCGTCTCAATCGCTGCTGTTCAAGTCGCTTTAACTGATGTTCTTACATCTGTTGGAATCTCACCTGATGGCATGGTTGGTCATTCCGTTGGTGAACTTGGATGTGCATATGCTGATGGCTGTTTCACAGCTGAGCAAACAGTTTTAGCTGCATACTGGAGAGGTCGATCAATTCTCGATACAGATTTAATTTCTGGTCAAATGGCAGCTGTAGGATTAAGCTGGGAAGAATGCCAAAATAAATTGCCAAAAGATGTCATTGCTGCATGCCATAACAGTATTGACAGTGTCACAATTTCTGGACCAGCAGCTTCAGTTGAAAAAGTTGTTAAAGATCTTTCTGATCAAGGAATTTTCGCTAAAGCTGTAAAGTCAAGCGGAATTGCTTTCCATAGCAAGTACATCTCAGAAGCAGCTCCAAAATTGAAGAAATCTTTGGACAAAATCATTCCAGCACCAAAAACAAGATCAGAAAGATGGCTCAGTTCATCAATTCCAGAATCATCATGGAGCTCACCACTTGCTAAGCAAAGTTCATCAGCATATCATGTAAACAATCTCCTTTCACCAGTCTTATTCCATTCTGCATTACAAAATGTACCGAGCAATGCAATCTGTATTGAAATAGCTCCACATGGATTATTACAAGCAATTTTAAAGCGCTCATTGGGCAATGATTGTACAAATATCAGTTTAATGAAGCGACAACACCCTGACAATGTACAATTTTTGTTAAGTAATATTGGAAAGCTTTATAGCGCCGGTGCACAACCAGTGTTGGCAAAATTATATCGTCCAATTACTTATCCCGTTGGTCGATCAACACCCATGTTGAATTCTAAAATTGGCTGGGATCATTCCCAAAAATGGATCATTTTGGATGTAAATAAGGAAACTTCAGGAGAAACTGTCGTTGAGGTTAACTTGACCAAAGAGAATGACACATATCTTGCAGGTCATACTATTGATGGACGTGTTCTTTTCCCAGCTACAGGATATATGACACTCGCATGGAAAACATTTGCAAAAATGAAGGGAACTACTCATGATCGCTTGCCTGTTATTCTTGAAAATATAGTTTTTCATCGTGCTACAATTTTACCAAAAGACGGTTCTGTCAAGTTTGGATTGAATTTCTTTGATGGAACTGGTAAGTTTGAGATTTGTGAAGGTGGATCATTAGCAATGTCTGGTATTATTAGAGTTCCTGAAAATATTGAGTATGAAGAATTACCACTTGATGCTATTAAATTTGACACAAAGTGTGGATTACCTTTAGAACGAGGTGATGTCTATAAAGAATTGAGACTTCGAGGATATGACTATGGTGGAGTCTTTAGAGGCATTAACAAGACCGATTCAAAAGCAAATGCTGGAGAACTTGAATGGATCAACAATTGGGTCAGTTTCATGGACACTATGTTGCAATTCTCAATCATGGGCAAGGATTTACGTGAACTGTACTTGCCAACAAGAATTGAAAGGATTGTCTTGAATCCAGAAAAGCATCTCAAGATGTTGGAAAAGACAATAGATCATCTTCCATGCTATATGTATAAAGACATCAATGTCATTAAAAGTGGCGGTGTTGAAATGCGTGGCTTAAAAGCATCACTAGCTCCAAGACGTCAAGGATCTCAAGCTCCACCAAAGCTAGAAAAATATACATTGATTCCAAACATAAATCACCGTGAAATTGGAGAAAATTCACATAAATCAAAGCATTACGCAATTTCCATCGCAACTCATTTAGCCCTTGAAAATAGCAGCGGTGCGTTGAAGCTTAAAGTTGTTGAATATCTCGACAATCGCTTAGCAGAGTCATCAAACTCACTTCTCATTCAGAATGTCATTGAAAGTGAACCTACATTAGTAAGTGATGTCGCGATTGTTACGTCACAAAAATCAGACAGTTATCAGAACTTTGTTGGTGATTCTGGTGTTCGTATAGTAATGAAAGATGCCTCAAAGGGACCTGTTGAACAAAATTGTCATTTGGCTATTGGATATGATTTGATGATTGTTGAAAATGGAACAACTATAATGAAGAATTTAAGAGACTCAGTCAAGGAGGATGGATTTGTTCTTATTGAAGAGTCATTAAATGTCTACAACAGCACAAAGAACTCAACTAAGAATCCATTCAATGCACTTAACTTGATTGTCATCACTGAGCAAGTTGTTGAAAATCGTATTTTTGTTCTGTTGAGACAAAATGTTAATATTAAGGAACGCGAAAGTCGAGTTGTTTTCATCACTGAAGCAAACTTCAATTGGGTTGAGGAACTAAAAGAATCTCTGATTGAATCCGAAACTGGAAGATACACTTATGTTGTATGTCAAGGAGAAGAATTCTTTGGAGCTGTAGGTCTTATGAACTGTATCAAAAATGAAGCTGGTGGTAAACTTGTAAGGTTGTTCTTCATCCAGGATAAGAATGTTAAGAAATTTTCACTCACCGAGCCAGCATTTGATGATCAACTTAGAAAAGATTTAATCCAAAATGTTTATAGAAATGAAAAGTGGGGAAGTTATAGACATTTGAAACTAGATGGCGCATCAAGCGTTCCCACATTGCCTGTTGAACATGCATACGTCAATGCTTTGACTAAAGGAGATCTCGCATCATTAAAATGGATTGAAGGTCCATTATCATTAGAACGTCCAGATTCATCAGATCAACGTGTTGAGCTATGTACAGTTTACTATGCTCCAATCAATTTCCGTGATGTCATGTTGAGTTCAGGAAAATTGGCAGCTGATGCATTGCCTGGTGATTTGGCACAGCAAGATTGCATTTTGGGATTGGAATTTTCTGGACGTGATTCAAATGGTAGAAGAATAATGGCTATGGTGCAAGCTAAATCTTTGGCAACAACATGCGTGGCACAAAGAAATATGATGTGGGAAATTCCTGATGATTGGACAATGGAGCAAGCATCTACAGTTCCTTGTGTATACTCTACAGTTTATTATGCATTAGTCGTTCGAGGAAAAATGAGGAAAGGCGAGAGCATTTTGATTCATGCTGGTAGCGGTGGTGTTGGCCAAGCTGCAATTTCTGTTGCTTTACATGCTGGACTTACTGTTTTCACAACTGTTGGTAGTAAAGAGAAGCGTGATTTCTTGAAGAAGACATTCCCTAAGGTAAGATTGTAAATGTAATTTATTATTTGGTAATTCTACATGATTTATATCATTTACAGCTTACTGACAGTCACATTGGAAATTCTCGTGACTGCACATTTGAGCAAATGGTAATGCGTGAAACAAAAGGCAGAGGTGTCGATCTTGTTTTGAATTCTTTGGCAGAAGAAAAATTGCAAGCTTCAATTCGCTGTCTTGGATTGAATGGAAGATTCTTGGAAATTGGAAAATTCGACTTAAATCAGAACTCACCATTAGGAATGTCAGTTTTCCTCAAAAATACATCATTCCATGGAATTCTTCTCGATTCAGTAATGGAAGGAGATGATGATATGATTAATGAAGTCGTTGGACTTGTTGCCAGAGGTATTAGAGATGGTGCTGTTCGTCCCTTACCAACAAGTGTCTTTAATGATCAACAAATTGAACAAGCCTTCAGATTTATGGCTTCGGGTAAACATATTGGAAAAGTAGTTATTAAGGTTCGCGAGGAGGAAGTACAAAAAATTGTTCAGCCTTCAATTAAAACTATCAATGCTATTTCACGCACTTATATGCACAAAGAAAAGTCTTACATCTTGGTTGGTGGTCTTGGTGGGTTTGGTTTGGAGTTGGCAAATTGGTTGGTTACGCGCGGTGCCAAGAATATTATCCTCACATCAAGAAGCGGTATTAAAACTGGATATCAATCATTGATGATTCGTCGTTGGACTGAAAAGGGAGTTAAAGTTGTTATTGACACAAATGATGTGACGACTCTTAAAGGAGCACAAAAGATGCTTAAAGACGCTTCAAAAATGGGTCCAGTAGGAGCAATCTTCAATTTAGCAGCTGTGCTACGTGATGATTTACTCGAAAATCTTAATGAAAATGACTTCAAAACGGTTTGTCAGCCAAAAGTTGATGGAACCAAACATCTTGATACAGCATCTCGTGAATATTGTCCAGAACTTGATTACTTCATTTGCTTCTCAAGTGTGTCATGCGGTCGTGGAAATATTGGACAATCTAATTATGGATTAGCTAATTCAGCTATGGAAAGAATTTGTGAGGCTCGTCAACGCATTGGCCTTCCTGGAACTGCCATACAATGGGGAGCCATTGGTGATACTGGATTAGTTCTTGAAAATCTGGGAGACAATGACACAATTATTGGTGGAACTTTACCTCAAAGAATGGTTTCATGCTTACAAACTATGGATTTGTTTATGCAACAGCCACATGCTGTTTTGGCTTCGATGGTTGTTGCTGAGAAAAGAAAGACTGATGCATCAAGTGGAATGAGTTTAATTTCATGTATATCTAATATTTTGGGATTGAAGGATACAAAAAATATTAGTGACTCATCAACACTTGCTGATTTAGGAATGGATTCTCTTATGGGAGCTGAAATTAAGCAAACACTTGAACGAAACTTTGATTTAGTTTTAAGTGCTCAGGAAATAAGACAGCTCACATTTGGAGCTATAAAGGCTATGGAAGCAGGAACTGGACCATCAGAAGCTACAAGTCCCGAAGGTCGTGATAATCAGGAATCAGATAAGAATGGACACACATCACCTGTCTCACAAGATATGGGAGCTGTTGGAGATGGAACTCAAGTTGCATTTAGTGAGAACTTAATGCCAACACAATGCTTGCTAAAGATGAAGTCAAAGAGTGGAAACAATCCACCAATTTTCTTGGTGCATCCAATTGAAGGTGTCGTAAATGCTCTCATTCCTCTTGCCGAGAAACTAAACAGACCAGTCTATGGTCTTCAATGTGTCTCATATGCACCACAAGAATCTATTCCAGATCTTGCAGCTTATTACGTAAAACAAATTAGAAGTGTTCAAACAATTGGACCTTACACTATAGCTGGATACTCATTCGGTGGATGTGTTGCCTTTGAAATGATTACTCAAATTGAACGTGATACAGGTGAAACATGCAACTTAATTATGCTTGATGGATCTCCTCTGTATGTCAGTTGGTATACAGAAGCACAAATGACAAGAAATTCTGGTGGAAAATCACCAACTGGACATAATAACTCAAGGGATCAGGCTTATGCATTCGCATACTTCGGTATGGTGTGTGGAAATCTTGATTATAAGTTGGTAAGTGTCTGGATCTATTCCTGTTGATGCTTAGAAATTAAATTAAAAAGTTTATTGACTAATTCCTTATTCTTTAAATCTTCCAGACTGCTATGGAACTTGAGAAATTGCCATCATACGAAGCACGTCTCAGCCGTGTTTCAGAAATGATTCATCAAAAGACAAATTATCCAATAGATTTGGTAAGAATGAAAACATAAAAGTTTAGAAATTCAGTTTCATAATTTGTAATTCTGTCAATTAGGTTGCTGTAACTGCCAAGAGTTTCTTAATGAAATTAATTGCTGCACACAATTATAAGCCAATGAGTAAAATCAATGCAAACACGCTTCTTATCAAGCCAACTGAAAATTATACAAAACTTGCGAAAGATTATGGATTAAATGAGGTAAATATTTTGTCGAAATCCTTTGAGGTATCAAAGCTCGAAGTCAATATGAATTTTAAATTCAATAACAATTAAAATGATTCAAAAAGTTTTTAAACTTACAATTTTCTCTTTAATTCTTTCTAGCTTTGCACAAAACCAGTAAAAATAGAAACAATTCCTGGCAATCACCGTACAATGTTGACAGGAGAATCTGTGGAAAAGATCTCTAAACTCTTAGAGAAATTAGTATAGTAATATTAAGCCACAACAAAATATTTAATCTGTAAATATTCTTAAGCATTTAGATATTTTTATATGTAGCAATTCCATACAGCAAATTGTTTGAAGAAATTGATGTGATGTGCTGTAAATATTTAAGGTCCATTTGTAGCACATTCTTCCATGTCTTGACAATTTTGTTTTGAACATTCCTGTTGAAAATTGTATAATCTCTATTAATTGTATGTAGGATGTATGAATAATATTGGATATTTCTTTTTTAAAATCAAATGCTAAGTTAAGAATGAATTGGAAATTTTATATTTAAAATATTTCAAATTTCATTCAATTTGACCTGCAAGTTGACTATTAAAGATGAAATCAGAAGATATTTACTGAAACTGAAGATTATGACAAAGAAAAAAAAGTTTTAATTTCTGTGATCAACGTTTAAATTTTTATTAACACTTTAATCAAATTGGTTACAATATTTAATCTAGATTAATTTTTAATCTAAATTAGTCTTAACTTTTCGTTTGATATTAGGAATGTGCAGAAAATTAAATATTAAAGGATTATAAAGTGAATTAAATTAAATTATATAATTCAGCACGGTGTGGATTTTAAATGGATTAAAAGACACTGCAGTCAAAAGATAAAGCAAAAAAAACTGACGATCAACAAGAAAGAAATTTATTTTTGACTGAGAAGGTCTGTAAGTCCATGAATAAATCCGTTAAGATTTGCACAGATATATTAAATGAATATCAAAATTAAGTTAACACTGAATGTAATTAAAGGAATATAAAAATCAATAAAATTAATAAAAACCAAAACAAAGACTTTAATTTCTTGTTTGTCAGGAACTAAAAATAGGTTTTCAACTTAGTAATCAATTTCAAACTTGATAAGATTAATAAACACGAGGAAAAAGATTGATTAAATCTATTTAAAATTAAAATTTTCTTAATATTGCTCAACAGTTTGGGTGAATTATTCGTACAATGAATTTTTCAAACTTCTGGTTTGAACTCAATTTAAATTAATTAAGTAGCATTGGTGTGTCTTAAGAGTTTTGATACTTGTAAAGTTCTCAATTCAATCTAGAGAAAGGTTTAAAAATTTTCATTTTCTTAAAGATTTGCGACTCACTGTTTGAGAATCAATAGCTTCATCTAGTCATAAATTAAGTTTATAGTAAAATGAGCAAAATAGAATGAATGATCTTAAATTAAACTGTTTCGAATAAACAACAACAAAAATTAAAAATCCACAACACAAAAACTTTAAAATAAATCAATTAATGAAGGGGATTTGCTTTAGATATGAGATTATTCTATAAAGAGACTTGGAAACTTTTAAGCATGATTTAAAAAAAGTTAAAATTAATTTTACAAGTTTCAGATACATTTTAATCATTATAGACACAATAATAAGTCCAAACATGCTGAAAATCTCCTTCACAATCAATTAAACCTTACTCAAAAGTTTCCAAATTTCAATTAAACATTTCCAAGACTATTGCTAATCGATTGACTCGTTCATTTACTCATTCTTATCTCTCAGTAGTTTCTTCATGTTCACATGTAAATGATAATGTTAAGCTGACTAAGTTACCATTTAAGATATTTTCTAAGACATGTGTATTCTCGCCACCAGCAGAATAAACAACAACTCTTCCAGCCTTTGGATCTACAATGTGATTCTTCTTCTTTTTCTTCTCAAATTCCACAAAAATAAATCGTCCACCATGAAAGTTGCGCTTATAATTTGATAGGAAAATAACAACAGAATAATGAACATTTTTCTGAATTTCCTTATCATAATGATGACGATGCATCGATTCAGAGTACTCGGTCGTAACATTTGTAATCTTCGAGAAATAAGTTGGGCTAGTTAGGTAAAGTAAATTGTGTGATATTTCAAATCGTTGCGCAATATTCTCGATAATTTTCGGCTGAATTGACTAGAAGTAAAAAAAAATACATAAATTTTAAAATTGATAAGAACAGGCATTAACGGTGATTTATGATAAACTTACCTTGATTGTGTCGTGTATGCTTTTAGTTACATCATCTAATGCTATCGAGTTTGAGTTTATGTGATAAATTTCTGATGACTCGTCGTGATTATGGAAAATTTTCCTCGCCAACTCTTGAAGCTGCGAAATTTCATTTTCATTCATGAGATTATCGGTGACAAATCGTTTACATGCTGAAATACATTTTGGATGCTTTTCAAATTCCGCCTCTGTAAAGCTGTCTGCTGAACAAATTAGTTTATGTTCTCGAAGGGGAATGTCTTCTTTGTAGCCAGCTAATGTTGATGTCTTCTCTTTATTTGATGTAAAGTACACAAGGGCAAATACACATCCTGCCAAAATAATCCTAACAAACACTTTATGGCTTTTTAGCTGTGGTGGATGAGTTTTGAATTTCCTGAAATAATCATGAAAATTTAATTTATTTTTTGAAAAATAAATTTATTGAAATTTCACTTACGCTGATCTATCTTCTGGCTTATTTTCTGGTGGATCAGTAGACACTACTGCTGGACTGGCATTCTCAGTCTTCCCTGGTACTTTTCTTTGCGTTAATGTTGACATTTTTAAATAATTTTGAAATTTATTTTCAATTGAATCCTTTTGTGTGCTTCAAAAGGATATAAAAACATTGAAATATTACAGGCGCATGTGCGGACAGTTGGATGGGAGTTGTAGAGTTATTATTTTGTTTAAGTTGCACAACTTTCACGTGCTTATCAGTTTTTGTGTTGCAAATAAATCTGTTTGTATTTAATTTTTATTGATTAGAGACCCTATGAAGAAAATTACTTTATTATTAATGGAAATACAAGAAAGAATTGAGCAATTAATCGATAAACAAGCAAAATGAAAACTTATTGATGATATTTGATAAGTTTTAATCAGTTTAGGTTTATGGAGAGAGTTAAAAATAGCACAAATTTTAAATTGAGCAATGTTTTTATTATAAATACACATTTTGGGAAAATTTTCAAAGAAACTGATCTGAAAGTCTACGACTAAGAACGAAAACTAAAAAAATCTTATTTGTAAATCTCACAAAGTATCATTCTTAATGCAGAATTCTTCTTGGAAAGTTACAATTCAATAAATCATTGCTATCTTTATAATCAAATCATCTTTCAATGAGCAGTCAACCAAATTGTTATGGGAACAACTTTCCATGAATAGCATGTAGTTAAATAAACTTAAAAATACCAGAGAAGTTTAAATATTACATATTTGAATACGTAAGACCAACATTAGGAAATCATGCCATGACATAATCATTTATCATTTTATTAAAGTTATAAAATAAACTGATAAACGTTCTATGTGAAAGCTAATAAATGAAGGCCCATTGAGAAATTAATCGTACACTTGATTATGATTTCTACGAAAAGTATTTGCGCTATTTATGATGTTAAAAATTTGTCAATGAATAGTTACATTTTATAAATGAAATAATTGGAAATAAGATTTAAAAATTCAAAGATTCGCATGGTCAAAAACTTTAAAGAATTAATTAACTTAATGAGAATCTTTTTAATCTCTTTGTTAAAATTTACACAAATTTAAAAACAGATAAAAAATCTAATTTCTAAAAGTATCAAAGGATTAAAGCATCAATGTTGAATTTTTATCCAAAGGTGAAAATAATGTGACGTCTGGTGCATTTTTAAGTATAAATCCTTAGTGCTAAGGTTATTATAAAGTTGAAATCAGCTTTTACCAGCTTAATAAAATTGATAGGAACATAAATTGATAAAGATAACAAATTGTTATTTGAAATGTTACGTTTTGTTTTAAGATTTACATGACTTTGCTGTTAAATCACATTAATTAAGAAAATCAAATTAGATTGCTTATTTATCTCATCTTTATCTTTTCTGTTTGTTTTGAAAAACTTTGGAATAAAACCTTTTTGAAGCTGTGAAAATGACAAGGCGTGGAAACTATCCCAAATATTATATTTATCCCACATATCCCAAAAATATTCAAAAAATTCCTGAGCATGTATGTACGATAATAAAGATATCCCAACGTATCCTTAGTGTATTGGACGTGTAATTTCAGGATATGATGGGATATCTCAATTCAAATGTATACAGGCTCAGGGATTATTTTGAATATTTTTGGGATATATAGGATAAATGGGATATTTGGGATAGTTTCCACGCCTTGGAAAATGGCTATCAACATCATGAATATTGTAAACATCTTCACACATTTTTAAGGTTTTTCTTTCTATGTCTTCTTTTCCTGTGAATGATAAGGCTCCATTTGACAGATTTTTAAAGGCACAAGCAGTATGAAATTCATGTTGATACTTTACAAAGCTCAGATTTATCAATAACTCTTCAGCCAATCATATGTTCCTCAAAACATACTAGCATCAACGCGGGCTCGACCCCAGGAAATGTCTAGTCGAATTTGGGTGCTTATTTCGCTGTTCTAGTCATGGCAACTCGGTTTGTATGATTTGAGACGTACAAACTGTGGCTAGGTATTTTTGCATCGATATATCCTGGGTCAATGCAATTGTGCAGAGTTGCAAATACGCAATTGTCCGTTGAGGACAAAAATAATCAAATAATTTTGGATGTCATCATCAAATAATTATTTCAAATCTATAATTAAGTTGTAACAGCCGCTTGCGCTAGCCCTCTTAAAATTGTAAAAAAAAATACTAGCATCAATGAGTTTAAGGATTCTTTTGATTTAAACTGCCATTTGTTATTGCAAAATTCTTAGTAAATAATTATGAGAAAGACAATGAAACGAAAGTACAATTCATTAGTCATGCGACATGCATTTTGCGAAAAATTGAATTAATTTTGGATATTTGTTTATTAAATGATATTTGAAATGCAGTCTAAAAGTTTTAAAGATAAAGTATTTTGTCGAAGGCTTATGAATGGACTTAATATCATATTGGTGCTAATATCATATTCATATTAGCGTTAAAACAGCTCCTTTAGGACACTGCACTCCAATTTGACATCAACGTGGGAATTATTCGGTATCCTAGCGAGTATATAGCCATATTTAATAAAAAAAAATCAGTTAATGCAAGGGTTAATGCATCAACTCTTGCAATATCTCAAAAAAAAATTCTAATCATTATTCAACCTGAACAAAAAAAGCGCATTATGCACAAGAAATAAGGGATAATAGTTTTAATTTCTTATAGTTTTCTATTTACAATCTTTATTTGTTAAATATTATTTTCTTATTTGAATTAAATTATTTTTTATTTCAGTCACACATCACAAAGTTCAAATATATATATGAAGTCAATTCAATACATTTAATCCCATTTCAGTGTAAATATATAATAAAAAATTTATCACGACGCCAAAATTAAAAAAAAAAGTCGAATCGATAAGACGATTGATCAGAGAGAAAAAAAATAAATGAAATAAAAAAATTACAAATAAATAGAAAAAAAATACACCTGAAATATTGCCTCGGCAAGCATTAATAAGAAGAGTAAATTGAAGTCCCGTAAAACTTCTTATCTTATCATCAAACATAGCAGAAGTAGAATAAGAAGAAGAGGAATAGATAGAAAAAGTATTTTTTTATTCACTCCAAATGTGATTGTGATGTATGTGGAATTAATGTAGAATAAATTTTTTCATTCGTCAGTGTGGATGGTAAGGTAAGGTTTAATTATTATCATTCGATGGGGATTTAAGTGTTGAAATTTAATTTTCCATGTGATTATAAATTGAATGTGATATCGGGATAGATTTTTTAGAGAATTATGTCACTTAAAAATATAATTTTTTTTCAATCTAGTTCCTTCCTCGTCTTTCTCTATTCCTTCTCACAAACATGTCAAATACACGAGAAGGAAAAATAAAATTGTATAAAAATAAGTTTTATATCTCCCTGCTCGATGTGAACTTAAATGTAGTTGACGCGCTTACAATTTAATTCTTATCTCATATTTACTTTATTGGCACAGCAATGATAAAAAAAAACTTTGTGAGTTGAACTTCATTGGAACGTAAATATAATGGGACGGTTTATGGAAATTGTCACAATTCGTTTTGTTCCTTGGATTGTTAATGAATTTGAATAATGCATTTTCAGAGATTCATGTCTGTTGAATGAGATTTTAGAATAATATAAAATGTATTCGAATTAAGAATCTTCTTGGTTTTGAAAGGATAATGTCATTTTTTCATGCATGCATTCAATCTGAGCTTATGATCCTTAAGATAGTATCAGCAACAGACAAAATATTTGCCAGAACTTAACGATTTGACTTTTTATTAGATTCGTGTGATCTGATATACCAAGAATTACCAAACAAGGGTTAAATGACTACTCCAAGACTACTCCTTTAGCAAATTCTCTGATTTTATAGCTTTCGTAAAGGATGTGATTCTACTGTAATGATGCATCTTTGAATTCTGACTTGGAAAGAAACCAAGATACAGATTTTATTATGACCAATCAAAGCTAATCTGTACATCAAGTTCAATTTGTTCGAGAAATGGTTAATGTTGAAAAAGTTCAGCGTAGGTTTGATCTTAGAATGAACTTAGTGAATTAAATCAAATTTATAACCAAGATACAGATTTCAATATGAACAATCAAAGCTTATCTAGGCATCAAGTTCAATCTTTTCGAAAAATGGTTAATGTTGATACAGTTCAGCGTAGGTTTGATCTTAGAATGAACTTAGCAAATTATATCAAATTTATCAACAAATTTCCAATATGTCTGGTTTCCAAATTTATTTTATTTCATTGAAATACTCAAAAAACTTACAAGTTAACGATGAATCCTGTTTATTAAAAATCCTTTGAATTATATATTACTTTAACTAAGCTAAGACTAGAAGTTCTGGGTTAAAATTTCAACTGATTCAAAAATTGTATTAAGAAAACAAAAGCATGCTTAACTTCAATGTATTACTTAAAATTTATACAAATTACAAGTGTTTTGATAAGCTTAATCTTAATCATTATTTTTGAAGTGCTCTTTGTGAGTAGCTATAAAGATTCTAGTTAATTATCAAATGAATAAGCAGCAACACTTCTCTGAAAAAAAAAATCATTCATAATTCTATTCTAAAGTAAACTATTCGTGTGACAAAACTTATCACATCCACTCGTGAAAGAACGTTCAACTAAAAAGTTTTCACTCTTTTGTTTGATTTTCGATCACATTTACAATTGTGGCAAAGCATGAATCTTTAACAGTTACAGCCGGAAAACGATTGTTGAGAGTGTTGATGAACTTTTTCCTTCATTTCTTTAGTGATGATTAAGTTTGGGTGTGAAATTAAGTTTTTTTTTGCAAAGGCACAGGTTGGAAAAATTGAAAATTACAAAATATAAATGAAAATCCCTCAAAAAAATACACTCGACGGCGTTATCATAAATGCGTGATATCATAGATCAGAGGTAAGAAATTAATCACCATCAAAACTCCTTACCATTATTATTGAACGTAGTTCTAAGTGATATTGAGGTTTTGTTTGAAAACTGATAAGTTATTTCGGTTAAAAATATTGTGCAAGTATTTGTGATATCAAGACTGATATGAAATAAATTTCATTATCAGTTAAACTTTTTCGAGGGAGCGTTACTTACAAAAAAAGACGAAGAACGTATTCTTTAAGTATAAAATCGACAGTTGAAGTTCGTTCATTGATTAATAATTGAGAAATTGTTGAAGTGGTGAGACGTATGGTGTGCAATTTTAAATAATTGATTTTGGAACAACTTGACAAGTGTGATTTTACAATTAATTGGAATGTGCCTTAAATAAATTTATTGTGTTCAGCATGTGTGCATTACATCTCGTGGATTTGCAGATAATGGTCTTGTTACGATATTTGAACTCTCTAGAATAGAACTTGTGATTGATATTCGATCAGATCTGTCCAAATCTACAGGAAATGTGATTGCGCATTGATCAACGACATCGCAGTCTATTGCTGAAAAGTGAAATTAATTTGAAGGAATTTTGAAACAATTTTGAATCGGAATTTTAGAAAAGTTTTACTAAGTTTGAATTTGAAAAGAATTTAAAGAAGTTTTTCAACATTTAAAAAAAAATTCTGAATTTAATTTTTTTTTATTTTTTAACAAATTTCAATTTTCAAACTTTAACTTAGAATAAAAATTTCCAATATCACAATTCAAATAAAACCAAAGTTCCCTCAAAATCAACGAATCTATTTGTCCAAGTGAACACGTGAAATCCTTCAATATGGAACGTTTTCCATCTTATGTAAACATCATGAGCAAACTTAATAAAATTAACTCGTCTATATCAGAAATATCGAAAGTCAACAACTTCAAATTAACAAAATATATAAAATTGGAAGAGCTCTAAGTGGAGAAGTAGTTCTCATCGCTTAGTTTAGAAAGTGAGATTCAACTTCTCCGACTTACTGCATGCCAATTAATTCATCAGTTTGTTTTGTTAAGGATCTACGAGTGTAAATTGTGAAAAGTTTAAAACTTTGTTGAAAATGCAACTAGAAATCGAAAGTTTTACAAACGATTGAAGTTTCGTTATTTGAGTCTTGAGTTTTGGTAAGGAATTCGCACATGTCTTTCAAATACTAGAGTATTAGGTGTGTCATCATGTGCTATCTTTTCTTTAAATCCTATAAAAAGGTGAAAAATCATATTTTTTAAATAACGGTTTAAAATTCAATTGTTTAGCATTCATTCATGATTTTAGGGATGGTGTGTGGTGTAAATCGAAATTGGGGTATTATATAACGTCATAGTTGACATTCTCAGAATATTAAATATTTGAACATTTAGTTGAATAGGAGGTTTTACTTTAAAATTGATTGAATGTGCTTCTGAAATGAAAATAAAGTTTTTATTTTAATATTTTCATGTTTACTTACGATAAATCTCAGATTGATCCACAAACAGACAAAAAAGTATGCTCAGCAGTATCAATATATGCTCAATGAGTGCAATACTGCTGGACATTTGTTAGACTTGCTAGAAATCACAATCATAATTGATAAAAGAAAGCTATCATCCAAAAGTGTCATAAAGTATTCATATTCCGTTCAGAATTCGTGAAATTTTTTATCTAACGACGAAGCTTAATTTCTTCAAAAAATCAAATAAAATAAAAATTTTAAAATTGCAAAATAAAACACATACAGCTTAAAATTCAATTAGTAATTTGCAGTAATTTAATAGATTTTTTTCATTTTTATAATACACAAAAAATTACAGTACGATAGATAGAGAGATGTAAAAGTTTAAGAATTATTGTAATGAGCACCATTAAGAATGAGATTGAACTTTATCAGCACCAATTCAATTGGCAATTGTTTAAAAAGTAATGTTTCAACATTTGAAGACATTAGAGTACTTGATGTAATTGCTGAGTATAAGTATGAAAACTTGAAAAGTTAAGCAGTTGATTAGATAGCCAAAAAGAGATGATAACAACAATTTGGCTTACTTGGTAAGTAAGTAAGAATGATTTAACGATTTTTCATGTTAACAGATCAAATCACATGTTTAATTTGAATCAAATCATAAAGTTGTATCTTGACTTCGACTTCTATGTCTCTTTGCATTAGCAAGAGATCCGATGATGTTCTTGAAATGAAAAAATAACTTTGTTTCAATGTCCATTGTACTGCAAAGTACATCAAACTCAAAATAATATCGATGACGTCTGAATTTCACAACATTTTCTTGATTTAAAAACCAATTTCAAACTAAGACTTGACTCATTAATTTACAAAGTACTCTAATCCCTCAGCAGTAAGAGGTTGCGCATTTCTTCACGTTATTTTCTTGATTATAAATCGATTTTTAAGTACCTCGAGATAAAGTTACAATTAATTAATATCATTATGTAGAGATGAACAGTAGGTAGGAATGATTTTGTAAGCTTAATTAATGTAAGTAAAATTAATTTTCATTCAATCTCGATTTCTCGAAAAAATAAAATAAATGGGAAATGAGATGAATGGAGGTGTAAAGATGAGAAGTTGCATAATCTAGTTCTCATAATCATGATTTGTTAACTACTTCGTGTTTCCATCGATTAAAAAAAAATTACATATGAACATAATAAGGCACATTGGAAAAAAAATATATAAAGTTTCATGGCATCCTATCAGTTGATTTCATTCATGTCGATGGACGAAAAACAGGCAATGAGCTTGGATAGTGTGTGTCTGGACGTAGAACGGAATCGGGCCAATTTGTCATGACATCATTAGTTGATCGAAATGGGTATGTTGCCAACACAATTGGTAATTGAAGTTTTATCGCCTTCTCCATCGATTTTGGCTCAATTATAAGCTGCAAAAAAATATATAAAAATGAAATTGAAATTGATAATGAGGATTTATTGAGTTGTTTTGTAACTACAAGTGCAAAATGGAATCGAAAATTTTATCGATAAAAAAAATTATTTTTTATGAGTGACGTCTTATGTAGACAAGTCCCGCCCTCTGCTGTTACGAAACATACACATTAAAAATATCATAAATATCTTATCAGTCCTCATTTCATAAAAAAAATTCTTTATATATACTTTTTTTTTCGTGCCTTTTGATAAGCGAAAGCCTTTAACGAGAATGTGAAAAGGTAGGAAAAATAACTGAATTTCATTTCGAATGAACGCACACCTATATATTCATCATGTATTTTCATTTCTATTCAATGACATAATTTTAAAGACATAAATGTTGAAATATTTTCTTTCAGCAGAATGGAAATAAAGAATGGTTGTGAAATTTCTATTGTGAATTTTTGTAAGAACAAAGTGTATTTTTTTTTGAGGGGAGAAGGGGAGACATTAGGGATTTATGAGGGTAATTTTTCAGAGTTTTTCAGAATTTTTGTCATGAATATACTTTCAAAAATATTTTCAGAGATCTACTATATTTCCAATTAATGAAATTTGGTAGTTAAAACAGTCTAGGTGCTTAGTAAAGGTTGCATCTAGTTAGGGCTACCATCTAATTTTCATGAAAATATAGGACTTTTGGTAAATTTTTTCGAAAAATACAGGACATAGAGTAAAATTCGAAAATTAACGGAAATTTTCGTGAAAAAAATACAGGACCGGGAACAAAATTTTCAAATTTATACAGGACAGGGTTTTAAAATACAGGACTGTCCGTTGTAAAACTACGCAGATGGTCACCCTACATCTAGTGGAATTAATTCAGCTCATCTTAAACTAGCTTCTAAAATTCATAATCAGTATATTATCAATGAATATGCAATTATGGCCTGTGGTGTGCGTTGATCACCTATTTCTCCAGCCCTGCATCAATCCTAGGATATGCCTATTAAGATTCGAGTGCTTTTACACTGTTGTAGCCATTAAACTCAGTTTGGATGCACTTTTTCCAACTTAATACATGTATAATTGTCTCGACATGGCATTTGGTACTAAAGAACCTGTTCACTTGGCTTCCTGTGCATTACATGTTAAATTGTACCTGTCAGGTAGGCACATTGCATAAAGAACATCGATTACCTTTTTCTATAGCTTATCAGGGATACATTTGAACATAAGATCTATGCACTTCACTTCACTATATAAATAACATTTGACTATACCTATGGAACTACGTAGCTCTTGAAACTGACTGTTCCTTATGCAATTGTCGTAGTGTCTTCAATTAATGTAAGAATCAAAGTACTTTAATGCTTTGTTGAATGAATGTAATGCAACAAAATTCAAGGATTGTGAAGAGAGCCTTGGTTCATACAGAATCAAAGATTGATAACATATCTAATAGACAAAGTGTACCCCAACATCCATCCATTAATAACAAAGCAAATTGCATGCTAAAAATAATTCAACAATAAAATAAAACTCACATAGACATCATAATTTAATTGAATCAAATTTGAATTGCGTATATTTGTGGGTGGTAAAGGTGGAATGTAAAGCTTTTTGTTCACAAATTCATCACGACTATTGGGACGTATTTTGGGTCCTTTGATTGATGCAATTTCACGTTTTTCAACTTGAACAGCTTTTCCACGTGACAGATAATTGATTGTTTCGAGTAGAATTATTTTCGTATGACGTATTGTAACTTTACTGAAATTCCTAACATATCCGTTGATGTGAATCGTTTCTCCTGACACGTAACCTGCGCATTAGTCCCAAATAAAAAATGAGAATAAAAAATGAAATTAAAATCAAATTCAATCGACAATCAGAATAAAAGAATTTAATTTTACCTCCCCGATCCAATTCGATTTTACATTTTACAGTTCCAGATCCAATACATGCTAAACCACCCAACGTCGGTTCAATTTCACATCTAAATGGCTCTGCTAATGCTGGTTCCTCGATGTTTAAATCAATCGGATTCATGATGATGAAAATTTGATGATTTTTGTGAATTAAACCTGCTCACAGAAGAGTATGAAAAAAAATTGGATATTAAGGGAATGGTGTGAGTACCTCACAGCCTTCAAATATTTCTTTTTCTTATTGATTGCTTGCAATTTTCCGCTCAATTAAACTCAAGATAGGAATGGAATGGAAAAAAAGCAAAATTTAAATTCACCTGATGGCTCACGTAATGCGCATTTACAATAATACTGAATCCATCCGTGCTTCCCGAGAAAAGTCGATGGGAGACCCAAGGGGAGACCGAGTTTAAATGGAAATGAGTGTATGCCGGGTGATAATATTGTCGGTCCTGAATCATTGTCACCCAATAATCTCATTCGAAAATCAATGTAATTTTCTTTATCGTATGTGCGCTCTTGACGAGCTGTTCTAGCAGTCACGACACCTTCACCGACCACATGAAAGTGCAATCCTATACAGAAAGAATTTGAATAATTTTTAAAAAATTTATTGAATAGAATCTTTTTGTTATTTTGTATGTGAAGCAGTTCCATACAGCTGCTGTTTTGTTCTTGCCGTCTACCCACTACAAACACCGTTATGCCAAATTTAGACAAATGAATGAATTATAATTGTTTTCATTGTATTACAAGCTACTCATATTTGTGAATAGAATTAAAGGGAAGCGAATTGTTTTATAGCAGAAAATGAGAAGCATGAAGGTAAGACTTTCGATTTCAAAAAGATTCAATAAAATCAATAATTATAGTTTACACATCTCTTCATCTACAAACGAACATGTTATATCCAACCATAATAACTAAATTGCATCTCATTTTAACTTCTTTTATGTACGAGATCTCACTTCTGTGTTAATACTCATTGATTATGTCATTTACGCGTATTGAGTGCTGCCTTTTAAATTGGATTTGATACAGTTTGAATGAGTTGTGTCTGACTGACTTGTTGAGAATGTTTTGAGTCCATCAAACAATTGATGGGAACTTTTTTCTCTGTCAAATTAAATGAGCGGATGTTAAATTCTGCTGACAGCCTACATCATCAAAACTGTACAGATAATTTTCTATGAGAAATTTTGGTATTGATAGTCTATAAAATAGAACAGCACACCATTGGCACTAAATTTGCTTAACAGCTTAAAAATTTCTCTAATCATCTCAATTATAATTTTTGCGGATTTAAGTTGGTATCATCCATGGGGTGTAATTATGGAGAAATTTATGTTAAGGAGTTCCTACTTGTTCTACTTAAGACACCTTTTGAACTGGAAAATTATTTTTTTCAGGGTTGGTGATTTGGATTTTGAATTGGAAATTTTCTTGACCGGTACACATTCAAAATGTTGCTCAGAGTTTGGAACTGATCGAAATATGATTGATCGGTAACTTAAAAAACTCCCTAGGCGTATAAGACTCATTTATGAACCAATTTAGAAGCCGCATGCAATTCTGTATGAATTCTTTACTTTATGCAGCTCATTTATGAGACTTTAATGCATCTTCCTTGCATCCTTTTAGTTGCACGACTGCTTAATGTCAATTATTGTCCATACTTGGTTAATAAACTTGCCTAATTGTGTAAATGATTCTAGATTTGCTAGATTTTATAGCTCAAAATGTATCACACTCGAATAATTCAATTCAAAATAACTCAAGCATGACCCTACAAACCAAATTCCACCACTGATCATTTAATTAAATGCGCTATTCCCATCTTCACATGGGCGTATCAACCTCTCAACTTAATCATTGTATGTTTGTATGTTTTTTTGTTGTTTAGGTCTTATATGGACATCAATAACTTGAGATTTTCTTATTTTTTTTCACTTCTTTTATCGCAATTTTTTTTAATGCAATTTCAATGAACAGAAGAAGAAACAAATGTTGAAACTTTTTTTTTTGATGAAATATTGGCAATTGGAATGTAATACAATGGCTTTTTTATTCAGGCTGAATAGTATTGTGCAAATTGATTTATGGGTATTGAGAGATTAAGCTGCTATGAAATATTCTTAAAGTTTTGTCGATGACGTCAGTTTTGATATTTTTAATCACACAGACATGAATTTTTGCATAAAATGCAGCCATAAATTTTTTTTTACCTAAAGCTGGTGTATCTTCTTGCAATTCTAATAGAACTCGTCCACTTAGGAATTGCCCAGGAAAGTACAAGAGATTCGTATTGTCAAATAGAATCAAAAATTTCATCAATTTTCGAGGCATGATTGCAATTTTCAGGCTTTAAAATTCAATTTTATTTTGATTATTTTTTATTCTTAATTTTTCTCTCGATCGCCCTTCATAAAAATATCATTTTTTTTTATTCATCCACCTGTTGAATATTTGATAAATTTCTGCACTTTACACTTGTGCTAATCACTTGATCATAGATTACAATATCACTATAACACATTTCTTATCATATCGACACAAAATTGATAAATTTAATTTGTTAAAATTTCGATAAAGAAAGTAAAAAATGTTTTTTAATACTTGCGATGTGAACGAGAAGTATTAAAGGTATGTGTGACTTGCGATCGAGATAAAATAACATTAACAGTGTGAGTCTTAAGAAGCTAATGTTGAACCTCTATAATCCGACTTGATCGAGGTTTTGTTGCTAATACAGGTAAAAGATGTGCTTGACAACTTTGTTTTGGATCTAAATTCAATGAGCGGAAACTTAAAATTAACTTAAATTGGCCTTCACATTTCTTCATTCCAATTTACATAACGTGACATTGCGTGGGTTGGATCTGTTTTCGGGCATCGATATCTACTGACTTAAAAACAACGTCATTATTTTGGAAATTAATAGAGTCAGTCAAACATTGTAAATAAATTTTATTGCAATTCTTTTCATATTATTTTATCCTAGCTAAACTTAAAAAAATTCTTTTGCATTTCATTTTAATATCTTAGCACCACGTTCGTTCCAATTACGTAAATTGTCCTCATTTATGTATCCCCATTTCCATTTCTGTTTGATTTCATTACTATCACATGGTTTTATAAGAATTTTTTGCGACGTCGGATCTGCTTCCAAGCATTTCTTCTCACTTGGCTGACTATACATTTGCTGTGTATCGAGATCATAGCGGAAGTATTGACCGCCTTGTTTATGATGGCATGCACCAAGTCGCACACTTGAGCCATAAGAATCTATGCAGTATGCAGCATCGGAATAAAATTCAATATCACGATGATGTCCCAAGAAGTAATGTTGATGTCCTGATGGACGTTGTTTATTATGTGAACATCTGTAAAGTCCCAATTCTTTATAGAAATGACCCATTGAATCTATACAATAATCCTTTAAAGCTATGCTTTCAATCTAGAAATAAGAATGTGGGATTTCAGCATCAAATCTCAAAGTTAATTAAAATTGTGAAAAACTTACAGCTCCCTTGGCAAATTCAATCTGTGATGGTGGATATTTCTCTAGCATGTCAGGTGCTACAACCTCAAGGAAATACTTAAATGGCTTACATTTATTCTTTTCTTTAATTGCTAATTGCTTCGAAATATCTCCGGTATCAACACGAGCAAATCTATCCGGTTTCCGTTCGTAGATGTATTCTTTGTACTCGTCCATCCATACCTGTGGAAATAGAAATGTGAGAGAAATTACTTTAATTTTCATAAATATTTAATCATTATTGTTGTTTGCTAGAAATGAAGTACTGTAATTTTAAGGTATAGCTCAACAAATTGAGTAAGAGCATAGTCATTAAATGTTTTTCAACTTCCTGTTGACTGTGTTAAATGGAAACTGGGACAATTGTCATGAACTGTGTAGATGTGTAAAGGGATAGACATGAATTTGTTTAAATCTTTAATAAACTGTTCAATTGCGATATCTGGTACACGTGCATGCAGGGTATGCTCTCTTATTAATTAACAATAAGGATAGCCATAGAATAGTCAGATTGAGAATCAATAATTAAGCATAGCAGCAGACAATCTTAAAGATTAAGTCTTAATACTCCAATATAGTCAGTAATGCAGTTCTTACCTCAGCAACTCTCTTGAAATTCTTTGAAACGTAGTCATATCCTCTTGGATCTGGGAATGGATTGCTTTTGTAAATGTGTCCGATTCTACTGCATGGGGAGTCAACCATCTCACCACCGCAAAGCCAAATTTTAAAGCTCAACTCGTACTGTTCACCTCCCCAAATGTCGAGACCTAAAATGTGAATTTTGATGCTGCTTAAACATTTGGACTGACTAAATCTTTATCATATGGATAATATAAAACTCAATTTATAATTCAAGGACTGCTCACAAATGACGTCAAATGGAATATAAGGGTTTGGGACCTCACTATAGAACATCAAATGACATAGACTGAATAGGGACCCCAAAACTCCTTGTTCCCAAAAGACATCATTAGCAAACGACACCTATGTGATAACTTACCTGGATCATATCCACCAACTTCCCAGAAGAATTTAGCTGATATTGCAAAAAGACCTCCAGCCATGACAGGTGATGGGAAATTATCAGCTGGTGTCTCTTGATCACCTGGACGGATATCAATTCTTTTATACAAGAAATTCCATTCAAATGCACCTCGATTTCCCTCATCTTGAGCTCTATACTCATAGTCTTGTGCATCAATTACATCAATGAATGGACACACACATGTTCGATAGTCAGATGCAATTGGATCTACAAAAAAAAATCAAATTCATGTTGTCAGTTGATTTATGTTTAATGCCATAGTAAAATTTTCATGTCAAACCTAATAAAGGCGGCAGCCAATTAGTATTTGCTTCTGTATGTGAGTCTAAAAATATAAGTACATCTCCTTTTGCTGCTCTTGCACCAGCCAAACGTGCAGTAATCTAAATATAAAAAAATACATGAGTCTCATTAATTGAATTAAAAAAATCATATCCAACTCACAAGCCCAGATCTTGCTGGCAAATCAATCACATGTGCCTTTCCTTCAAAATTATTTGCTAAGTACGCTTTAAGTTCATCATATAATTCAGTTTTTGTGGAATGATCATTGACTAAAATAACTTCCTTAAGTAAATGTGCCGGTGCACGATTTATACAGCTATGAACAGTTCGCATAAGAACGCTAAGGTGATCATTGAAAAATGGAATGATTACTGATGCCGTTGGCAGTTCCAAAAGATACTTTTTCTTTTGGCATCTACGAATATGAAAAAAATCAAAATGAGTCAATTAAGTTTAATTTAAATCAATTAAGTATGTACATACAGTGGGTGCCGAATATCGGCAACAGATCGATTAACTGAAATGATATCGGATGCTCGAGCATAATATCCATTGACTTTTAGAAGTTGTGTATTGATTTCTATATCATGTGGATCTGTTAACTTGAAGGCTTTGCCTTGCTCACCAGGTCCCTTTTTAGCTTTCTCTTGCTGAATATGTTCAAAGTCATGCCAGTCTTTTCTCTTAAGTAAAACATTGTGTTTTTGCTTGAAGAATGAATCATATGGCTCAACGTAATTGAATTCATCTTCTGATATTAACGGTAATACAATCGGCCGCTTTTCTGTGCTTGCTTTTGCTTTTCTCTGCACTAATTGATTGGCAATTGGGTGATCTTCTTCATGTTTTACATCTTCTTTTTCGCTTTCATCACTATTATTTGATGACTTGTATATTTGCGATATTAAGAACAGAAGAACTAATGCGATGATTGTAAAGTTTAGTACAAGTTTGATAAGAGAACTTCTGCCTTTACACTGAAATTTAAAGAAAAATAAACAATACGAAATGAAAATTAACTAGTTCAGTTTTTTGGGAACATATGAGATATACAGCCGTGAAAATAAAATCAGACTGACACGCATGAAATACATTCTTTACATTCTATTTCATTGTTGACAATGTGGCGATATTTTCTTCTTCTTATGACTTGTTTGAATTTTTCATATTCTACATGAACTGTTTGTGCAGGTGGAAATTTCATTTTCTTGTCAGTTTGTCTGTTCTGGAGATGATTAAGAGTTTGGAATTTTTAAACCACAAACTTTACTATTCGTGACTTAGGTATAGTATCCAGAAAAGCCCTTGAAACAAGGCTCAAGACAAATTAGCTAGTTCAAGCTAGTTAAGACCAAAAACTGGTTTTGGCAAGGATAAGATGATTCAGGCAAATACTCATTAGCCAATTTATCACAATATTAAGGTAGGATTGAGCAATTTAGGTTCGACACAATAACAAGGCGAACCTTAGCCTACAGAACCTTAGATTGCAAACATTTAAATTTATTAATTGCACCAAATTTGGTTCATAAATAAGCTTCAATTCCTCGCTTTCATGTCTTATCACATTTCGTCACTTAACTTGCTAATTCCGATTATGTCATTTTTGAAATAATCAAGCAAATTAAAAATTATTAAGGAAATAAATGTGATAAGAGTTTAATTATTCCAGGAATATTTATAAACATACTTAAGGCTGTCAAATGTCTAATTCTGATCACTTGAATTTTTTTATGCACTGACAAACAACGACTGACATTATGTATTGATTTTAATCTCGGAATTCATCAATTTCTACAATTTAATTCATCATTTAAAAAATACATTTAAGTATTCTACATGATGACGTACTTTCTAATGTTCATGATCATGTGAACTATAAAACACATTTCAGAAAATATGTAAACTGAAACCCAACAACCTTGAAATCATTTCCGATGTTCAATAAACTTTTTCGAATTTTTTTGAGAAACACGTTTATGAAAATTACAAAAAAATCTTCCAAGTTGGCATATATCAACTGTTCAACTGGTTTATTGACGTCATGCTATCAAATTTGTATCCAGTTTTTTTGTCTAATTTAATAAACTGCTGCTCAAAAGTGAAAAAAGTTCCATAAGTCATGACTTTATAATTCACTTGCCAACAAATCCAATAGAAATGCGCTTAGATCATCAAAAAACCGGCGACTCTCGTTCCTATTATATTTATTGTTTACGTCGCGAGTACGAAAACTCACATGTGAGTAAGTTCTAGGAATTCCGTCACTCTCTCAAAAAAATAAAAATCTCAAAGACTCTCCACTATCACGGCAAGTTTTACACGCACATCAATGCATGCGATACGATTACATGTGTATTAATAAAATAACAACAAAAAAAAATTGAGAGAATAAAAAAAAATAAAGGTAAAAAGAAAGAGATATGAAGACGTGTAGCTAGTCCAACAACCTTTAATTTTTTTTTTCATATTTTTTTCGGAAACCCGTTTTTGGGTCAATTTTTACAATGTTTTGAATCTAATTATTGCATTGCTATGCTTACAGTGCGTCAAATCATTATCAACAAGTTGTTATGCTCGAATGATAAAAAATTTACAATTTATCAGCACTTTCACAATAATTTTTTTTTGTCCCCGTCCATATCAAGTCTTGTCGGCACCAACAACGCAATATTTTGTGTGTAAAAAAAGTATAAAATTGATAATATGTAGTTGACTTACGTGTCGCAAAATCAATCGTTTTAAATTATTTGAGGTCATTTGCGAAAGGAAGGCAAGAAGGCAGGATGAGAAGATGTAACGTACTAAAGAATTGTAAATGCTCTTCAAAATAAGAATTATTAAAATTTTTAAATAAATTTTCAATAATTGGACGGAGAGGCAATTTTTACGATCAACACAGTCGATGCTTACCAAATGACTAAAAAGAGTGAGAGAAACTTTTTGGAACAAAAAAAATATATAATATTAAATGCGATAATACACATTGAATGCTGACGATGGAAGTCAGGGCTGTTGAGTGTGTTTGTTGGGCGCTGATGAGAGAATAGACGGAAAAGAGAAGAAAAAAAGCTGCTGAGCACTACTAATTGCTCATTGTTTAATTTCAATTTCAGCACTTGGTGTTTATTTTCAATTAGCATAAAGCACATGATTTATGATATGAGATGACATTAGTGGGATATTTACAGCCCTGCATTATTGTATTATAGTTTATTTTACCCACACTAGCAACATCAAACAGTTTTATAAACAATTTTTTATAATTTTTTGTTTGAAGTTCTTTATGCTGATTTTCACCTAAAAATTGAGAGAGCTAATTGGTAATAAAGTAGTTAATTGATTGAGCATTTAAACGCATTTTAAGTGTTGTTTGAGTTTGTATCAGCAGTTTGGGATTTTTATAGTAAATTTTGAAGTTTTTTGATGTTTTTCATAATTTTAATTTACAAACTCCCCTCAAAAATCTAGGCATATGGTTAACAGATTATGTAAGTGACATCAATTTTAATTGAATTATAATACAAGAGACATTTTTTGACTTTCTTAGTTGCAGTATCTATTTAGAGCTTCGTGTAAATATTTTTGTGACACTAGTTTTCAATTGACTTCAATATTCAAGATCATGTTACAAAAGTAACATTTGAAATTAATAGTAAGATAGTGTGTCATAGGTTAGAGCAATTTAAACTAAGAATTCAATCTGGGTGTGTAAATTTACAATTTTGTAACCCAATTGATACAATTTTATACGTGCTTACTAGTTTTCATTGATTTAGATCATTTATTTTAGCAACTAACGGCTTAATTGAAGTTAAATTTGATTTTGAAGATTCCAAGTGGACAAAAAATGTATAAGACCTGAAGTTGGCTTTGATAACATTTTATTTGATTGAATTTCCGTTTTAACTTCAAACTTATTAATTTTAAATTCGGTAAATCTAAGTCCCCATCGTACATACTAGCGTTATATAATTGATGCGTTCTTTTAGCAAACACCTTGATTGCCATTAAACTTGAATATTGAATTGACATAAATACTCCAACAAAGAGACACCGAGGCACCAGCGTTGAACCAAAAGTTTCCAGGTAGGTACCATGGCAAAATATGTATGCTTTTTCTTGGTGCAATTTTTATTACAAAATTAAAATTCTTCTTTATTATAAAATCATAGCCTTATTATTAAATTCAGTAGAATCAAAATTTCAATTGATTAGTCAGCGATTCTCTTCTTCAAAATTATTTTTGTATGTAATAAAATCTCTGAATTATTATATATGCACCAAGATGGTGAAATCATATAAAAGTATTGCTTTAATTATATGAGTTAAACTTTTTTCTGAAAAATCCCGGAACTGGTAAAAAGAAAAATTTTAAACTACAAATTTAAAGAAATTAAAGGGCCCGTTAGAGAAGCTCTCAGCATCTGCTTTTAACTTAATTTAAATAAACATTAATCATTACTCGTAAAAGAATACGAGCTAGATCATACGGTGCAAATGTAAACACTAGTTCTATTCTGAAAAATCATTGATGGAAGAGAGAAAGAATCAACAAAAAAAAATATTTTGCAAAATATTTGCCATAATCTACGACAATAGCAATAAAATAAAAAAGCATGTAAAAACATTTCCTAATCGCGTTCCCACAACACAACGAAGAAAATATGACTAAACGTGGCATCTTCGCTCTACAATTAGACAACGCCACATCACGAATGCAACCTTGATATGAATATTTCTGTTTTAGTGAAAAGAATCACTTCAAAATTTATTACTTAAGTATCAAGTTTCTATTGAGCATCTTCTCATAACGGCTACTTAAACAGAGAATGAAAATGTGAGTTTTTAAGTAGGGATCGTGGATAAATTACGTCTTTTGGTAAATGGGATATTTCAATACTATTTGTGGCACCCTATTCAGTGTATAAATTAGTTTTATTCATATCTCAAAGTGAAGAATACGTCAAATTTCATTCCTAAGATGGGGTGCCTAGAGCAGTAGTAGAAACCGGCCTCTGGTCACATTTTAACACAAAGATCCAGTCCCCACTCCTTCTCAATAGTGAAAGTAATATAAGAACAACCATTTAAGGCCCATTCACTTATCTGTTTGGCATTTCAAAAAGTTGAGTAATAATAATAATGTGTGAAGGGCCCAGCCCCTCAGCTGGAGGCACTGCGATTCAAATTAGAACAGAATCTATTGTACCACACCCTTTAGACCTACAGTTTATAGTGGGATCCGAACCACTTCCCAAAAGTTGAGTAGAGGATAGATGGACGGGGGGGGGGGACAAGTTTGTACCATATTCAAAAGTTCAGTTTCATCTAATACAATAACATAACATGTAAACGACTCCGCACTACTAAAATAAGCAGCATAAAAATTCAAGTTGAGTTTTAAAACAAGTTTTCAGTCGTCTAGTCAAACGCATGCAAATAATCATTAGTCAGGTCTGCAGAGTGTTGATTGAAAAATAATTGGAGATAACTAACGACGATGTCATCGCTTCTGTGTATTTTTTTGGATATAAAAGCTCATAAAAATCTGAAAATGCAAAATAAAAATCGAAAGCCAATGCACTTTGCTGAATTTATGAACCCCTTAACGTTCGCAAGCGTAGATATCCAAAAAATAAAACAAGAAAAGAATTTCAATTTCAATTACGAACCGGTTTTTATGGCTTGTTTTTTTTAATATACAAAAAAATTCTTATTCAAAAAAGTCAACACTTAATGGAAGTCCTTTGAAAGGTCCTTTTTCTCTTCAGCATCCATAATTGGTGATCCATATGAGATCCAATTGTTGATATTTGTCTCATTTAGAAATCCCCATTCCCACTTTTGTTCAACTTTATTCTCATTACATGTTGTGACATAGACCGACTGTGTACCAATATTTACTTCTACACAATGTTTATTACGGTAAGGTCCATGATAAATTTGCTTTGTTTTTAAATCGTATCTAAAGTATTGATTTCCCTGACCATGATGACAACTGAATGTTTTTAATTCCCTCTTTTCTCCTTCACCGTACGAATCAAAGCATGATTCCATTTCGGCATCAGAAATGTCACGATAATATCTGAGAATGAAATGTTGATTGTTCTGGGGACGTTTTTTGTTGTTACCACAAAAGTATATACCTAGTTTTAGAAAATAATTAAATTTTTTTTTTAAGGGATGGCAATTAATTTTATTAAAATACCCAAAGGCTGCTCTTTTGGACGATTCATTTTGTCGATGCAGAACTTTTTATCAGCCATTGATTGAATCTGTAATGGAAAATTGTGTAGTTTATATTGTTGCAAAACTTTTCTCATTAACATTGTATGTGAATTGGAAATAATTAAAATTGCAAAACTTACAGCACCCGAGGCATATTCTGGTGGTTCTTCAAGTGGATATCGTTCCTTCATATCGGGTGCAACGACATCCAAAAAGTGTTTAAATGGTTTACATTGTTGACGTTCTTTTACATAAAACTGATAACTTAAGTCACCAGCACTGACACGAGCATAGCGGTCCGGGTCTCTTTTGTATAAATATTCTTTATATTCGTCCATCCAAACCTCAGCAACTCTCTTGTAATTTCTATGTTAATTTAAAACATTTAAATTTTTTGTTTTATTGTAAAAAAATAAATTTTAATTGAAAAAGTTATACGAACATTGTGATAAAATCAATTCCCTTTCTGTCATTTGGAAATGGCATACCACCTTATCAGTGTAGGAACAAAAAATAATTATTTTTAAAACGTGAATTAAATGGGGCAATAAAAAGTATATTTACTACCTCTAAACACATGTCCAATTCTACTACATGGAGCGTCGTACATTTTTCCACCGCAAAGCCATATTTTAAAACTGAGTTCGTACTGCTCACCTCCCCAAATGTCAAGGCCTGTGTTACATAAAAGTTAGTCTACATTCCATAATATTTATTTCAACAATCCTCACCTGGATCGTAACCACCTAATTCCCAGAAAAATTTCGCTGATATTGCAAACAATCCACCAACCATGACAGGATTCTCATACAATGACCATGGATTCTCTTGATCACCTGGTCTCAATGGCATGTGATGATAATGTAATCCATTCCAGTCGAATATTCCTCGACTGCCATCACCTTGTGGCTTATAAGCATATGTCTTAAAATCAATGACATCAACAAATGGACAAACACATGTTCGATAATCTTCTGCAATTGGCTCTAATAATGGAGGGAGAAAGTTTGTCGATGCTTCGGTGTGTGAATCGAGGAACAGAAGTACATCGCCTGTTGCAGCTCGAGCTCCTGCTAAACGCGCCCAAATCTGTGGAAGAAATTTTATTTTATTAAGTTTCAAGTTTTTCATTCTTATCGGAAGGAGATAGTGAGAGTATTGAGGTATCAGAAAGGCATCACTACGTAGTACATTTGTTTGTATTTTCAAGTGTTGGGGAATTACTTAATCGATTAATGAAGGTAATAGTCAATGTATTGAGGAATATTCATTAAGGCTTATAACAGCGAATAAACAGCAGTGGTGTGGTGGTTTTGATGTAAGATTTGAGGATCGACCAATCGACTCTAATAGCTGGGGTTCGATCCTATAGAAAATCTAGTAAGTTTCAAGTGTTGGTTTTGATGTTCTTGCAATTTTACTCATGTTATGAGATTTGCGACGACACAAATTGTGGAAAGATTCGATTCATTGATATGGATCAGCCAAACGTGATAAGTTGGGGATTAACCATCTTCACGTTATTTTTGGGGATATTTGGGCTCATCTCACTTAACTCAAATTAATGAGCAAGTCAACATGAATCAGAACTAAGCTAGATAAAACATGACATGAAAAACTCGTCTTGTTTGGGATAATAGCTTTTTCTATAGCGTCTAACAGATCACTGACTTAATCTGATTTTTCCAGTTAATAGCTTGATTCTCTTAACACTGTCTAATTTTTAAAAATCCCCAGAAAATCGACTTCTGCCTAATCAAATTCACAACACAACTTATTCACAATTAATTACTCACCAAGCCAGAACGTCGCGGGAGAACATAAAGCTTCACAATATGCTTTAAATGCTTATTAATATAATCTTCCAATTCACCATAAAGAAAGTCTTTTGTGGAATGATCGTTGACTAGAATAACTTCTTTAAGTATCTCCTTAGGTGATCGATTAATGACACTATAGACAGTCCGCAATAATGTCGATAAATGATCATTATAAAATGGAATTACTATAGATACTGATGGTAGCTCTTTAAGATATTTTAATTTTTTACATTGCTGATGTCTATAGTCAGCCACGCTACGATTGAGAGCAATTTTATCCGATATGAGACCATAATATCCATTCACATCAAATAATTGCTTATTCAATTCCTCTTCACCTGGTTGAACGTAGACAGGTTGACCGTTTTCACCCGGCAATCCAAATCGCTCTTTCTCTCTCGCTAGATACTCGTAATCATGCCAATCAATTTTCTCCCCGCCTGTATTGTGAACTTTACGGAAAAATGACGAGAGTGGCTCTAGATAAATGTAATTCTGTGTGATGGCTAAAGGATGGTTGTTACGTTGAATAAATTTGTATACTGATATCATTACAATGAGACATATTAGCACAAGTGTTCCGATAAATTTTAAAAAATATCCAAAGCTCTTTTTACTCCGTACGATCTATTGAATTATGAAATAATATATCACAAGTCGTTCATTCACATTATGCCACATGTTTCTAACTCACCTGTATTTTAAAAAGTGATCTCGATTTAATTATGAAACGGTTCATTGACATTTTCATGACTATTTACTGTCTTTTTTTTCTGACCATTAAATACTATAAATTTATGAAAAAAATAAAATAAAATAAGAGTTGTAGATTAACACAATGAATTGGTCACACGATCATAAGCGAATTTGAAACTGCACTGACACACAGGTTTCTTTGGCTCTCTGTTTATATTTATCATCCACAAAAAAAAAATGTTTAATACATTTATGCCATGGGTGCCCTCTCACGCTCGCTCGCTCTTTTATGTCTCTTTTTTTTCGGTGTATTTCCAATCAAAAAAGAATGTATATACAGTCCAAAAATAAATGAGGAAGAAGTAAGAATAAAAAAAATTAATAATCTCTGTTGTTATTCCGCTTCTTTTTATTCTCGGTCACTGTTGCTTCTCTTTTTTTTGGACTCGCACATCTGAGATCACAAAAAAAAGCAGTAATAATGTTGGAATCTACTTCTCTCAGTTTATATATTGAACTTGAAGATGATGATGCTTAAGATGTGTGAATTTGTGTGTGATTCTAAGAACCGGAATTTTTCTTTTTGTTCACTTTAAATATAAAAAAAATTACAGCACAGCTATTTGGAATTTCTTTTTATGTGACTTTCCCCATAAACGTGGCACAATAGATGAGGAGCTATACACAAAAAAAAACTTTTTTTTTATTAGCACAGTACTGATACCGTAAATTATTTAATAAAACAACCAAAAAAAAACTTGTCTACGAAGACAAAAAAAAGTTATTAGAAGAATAGATGAAAAGCTAGTCGTATTAATTTGGAGAGTCGTGGAGAACTGAAAAAAAATGTCGCTGTGTGTCATTTGTTTATAGACTTACTACTTATTTTTTTACAGTCACACATTAGACTGATTAAGTTATATTCGCCGGCTTTTTAGCATGTTGTGTAGCTGATATTATGGATCTATCTCGTGCATTTTGTCAATGTATTGCGTGAACTGTGATTATTATTATGTTTTTGGGCAGTTATTTCTGTTTTGTGCTATGCTGGATTTAATTTAGCTGAATTATTTTTATGAAAGCTGATAAAAAAGTTATGCTGCTTTCTAAACTGTCATGTGAATGACATGGGAAGATGAGAGTATTCATCGGTCACTGATTAAATTTATTTTATTTTGGAGAATTTTGTAGGTACACAGCTAAGATTTAGGTAGACAAATGTATTTATTATATTAGGATTAAACTTTAAGGTAGTTTTGTATGTCCTAATATGAAATGGAAGCAGGTAGTAATTATTGCCCACCTGATCATGTTTATTAAGCTTGAATATCATATAGATCTAGAGAATCAGTCGATCTAGAGCAGTGTCTTCTAAACTTTTTTTGGTCGGCAACACACCTTGATAGTAAGTCATGACCAAAACCGAATTTTTTTGCGACACACTAGTGTGTCGAGACACATAGTTTGAAAATCACTGATCTAGGGTGTCATGGTAAGAGGCTGTTGATAGAAACAGCATTCACTTGGTATTGGAAATTAGCAAGCAGTAACCAGCGATAGAGCCCCAGCGGAATCCGAGGGAGATCGAGGATCCTAAAAAATCTATACGACCAGCGAAGTAAGTGAGTAAGTGCATCAGTGGATCTAGAAAAGATTTGCGGAACAGTTGATTAATGATGCTGCGTCGCGGTCTGAAAAGTTTAGGAAACACTGATCTAGAATGTACTCAAACAATGCTCCGCTAAAGCTTTTAGGTCAATGATGCTGTATTATTGATCTAAACGCTGAGCTAGCACTTCCCGGCTGCTCACTATATCCTAGCTAGAACAGATAGCTACATAAGTCTATATAGGAAGTAGTATCAATCCTAAGCATCTGATTCAACTCAAAACTCTATAGCTTCTCAATTAACAAAGTGTAACAAAGTCCACGTAATAATTTCTCTTGAAATGCGCCTTATCCAGTTCTCTCAAAAAACATTACTAAGCCTTGCGTTCCGTTTATCAGTGTTATCACTACTGCTATTATTGAAATACTTACATCAAATAAAGTTTGTATTTAAATGTGTGAATCTTGCATACAGAAAAAGAAAATGATGTTGTTCCTGTTACTGTATTCGTCTGTACATGTTACTTGTTGTCATCTTTTTTATTCGCTTTCATTCACAAGTTTTTTTTTTGTGTTCATGTTTTATCAGTTTCGTTGTTGTCCTTGTAATTTCTATATTTATCTGTCATTTTTACACAATATATTTTATTTCGGTTAACCAAAAATGAATGAAAGCGGCAGTGGAAGTAAAAAATTTGCTTCCACAATATCACTCACTTCACTATGAGACAGACCATAATGCATGACTTTACATGAGCAGTAAAAAGAGACGGAGGATGTGACAGTAGTTTCATTACAAGAAGAGGAGAGCCAGCGAAAGCCATTAATAACAGGAAATTTTTGTAACCTGTGCATAGAGAGTAAAAAGAGAATGTGTAATGTAAAACGAATGTGATTTGATCCTCCTCGATGCTGGCTGACTGTTAGAGTTCAAATAGCCACGTTTGTAATAATAAATGACAATTTTTATTCTTTCTTTTTTCGGTTCGGCAGCTTTTTTTTTGTGGGTTTAGCTGGATTTGAAGAATATTAGGGATGTGAATTAAGTTTTGGTCTTGGCGGCATCTGCCTATGTTACCTTAAGTTTAAGACTTGATTATGAAAAAATAATTTTAATTGAGTTAAAATTCCTCTTTATTCAGGATTCAATTTTTAAATTCATTTGATTTTAGCAAGGAACAAACCTTAAAAAAGTTAAATTTTTCATTCACTTGTTCTTCTGACTTAACTCAAACAGTACAAACAAGCATTTCATACTTTTGAGCAATGATTTCATCGCCATTGGCATTTTCATAATGCAATCCAACATTTGGTATCATTTTACCATAAAATGTTCTTCCATCAATTTTAATCCGCCCAACAAAATGAACTTCACGACTTGGAGTGTATCCAGGTGAAATTGCATCTTCAATGAATTCTCCATTAATTGATGGAATCCATTTGTAATCATAATTTGGATTTTTGACCAAATATTCCATTCCACTTTTAATGTGATGAACGGAGCCACCAGAGATGTGATAGAGTCCAGTTGGATGCGTTGTCTGAATTCGACCTGTTACCTTTAAATCATCATATGATCCACGACCAACGAAAATAGGAACTCCAGTGTCGAAGCTTCCAACAAAAACACCATAATACATTGGTTCTAAGGTTCCATGATAGCTACGCCATTCGTGCACACAGTTTTTTGAACAGGCTTCAACAATTAAGAAACAAATCAGGAACAAAACTTTCATTGTTCAATTCACTAAGATTGATTTTTTATAGTAAGTATTTAATGATCTGAAACCAGAAAACAAACTTACTGAAACAAAAGAAATTTCATTATTTATATTTTATTAAATCCTGAGTAATATGTAATTTTTCTATCAATTGTATTGTTATCAGTATGAAATTTGAATTGTATTAATATTGAACTAAAATCAGACAAATCTTAGCTAAAGTAAATAAGCAACGGAAATAGCTTAAAAGTTAAAAGGTCAAAAGACATGCCAAATGATTGAAAAATGAAGCAACTTACTTAGTCTCGATTGTATTAAAACTTCTTCATGAAGTATGTTTCATAGCTAGTCTTACGAAGAACATTATAAAAAGTTTCAAAAAATGCATTCTAATTTCAAATTTCTGAAATTTCCTTACTTCATTCCTTTTATTTGGTAAAGCGTGTTACATCAAATTATTATGTTCCATCCTCCTTTGATGTCATCCAAGTTAATGTACCTCCATTTACTATCCCACCATTAAGAAGAATAAAAGAAAGGTGAGAGAGATGCTCAAATAGTGTGAAAATCTGTCAGCACTGACGAAAAAACTTTTTTTTTCAGTTTCCCTTTTCAGTCTTGTTTTGTGTAACACGATAACAAAGGAAACATGACACGATGGAATAAAAAATTGACTATGCAGCATGAAAGCGTGAAAAAAATGGATTACTTAACTTAAAATCACGTTTAACTTCTGTTGAAAAAGGACTCAAAAGTGATGCTTTACAGGGAATCAAAAAAATTAATGCCAGCTTTTGATGCACGAACTTTTTCTGTTATTTTCGCAAACTAAAGCAATTTTTACATTCATTTGCACATGCAAGACGACGAAAGGAAGGATGATGATGAAAATCGTGGAGTAAGAGATAGTTGGGGAAATAAAGGAAGGATGGAAAATAACAAATTGTCACATAGACGATGATAAACGTTTTGTAATGCTTTAAGAATTAGATATCGCCATAGCTTTTCTTTATTTACTGGCTGGTGCTCATGTCTGCATCGTCACGAAAATCATCATGATTAATTATCCCTCTTTAAGTCGTTAGATTGTCTGCAAATTTATTTATTTGCTTGAATTATAAAAGTCAATGCGTTGTGATTTTGTAATTACTTATGTGAAATTGATGTTGATTGTATTATTAGTGGGTCATAAGGGGGGGGGGGGGGGGTTCTGAAGAATAAACAGCAAATATCTCAATAAAGAAAAAAAAAATTACAAAAGTCCTCGTGTTATTGATCGAGGGACTTCAGCGCATTTTTGACGAAGCGATCAGTATTTGATTAAAGCATAATTAATAATTTGCTGCAATGAATTTCCATATAGAAAAAGTTTATCATTTAACGGTTTTTTAAAATTTTTTAATTTTACAACGGCTAGAAAAAATTTGAAATTATAGAGGTAAAGTTGAAATTACAGAGGTAAAATAAAATTGGAGCAGGTTACACTGAAAACAAAACAAAAATTTATTAATTATAGCATAAATACACTGTTTCAAGACTTTTAACTGTTCGATCGGACAATAAACAATAGTAACGGAGCTAATAAAACAAATCCGAGCTCTCTACGATGTCTGGTTGCAAAGTTTTTATGCTTGCCCGAACGAACGAACGAACGAACGAACGAACAAAGTGTATTATTGAGCTCCCTTTTCGAAAACAAGTTTTCAAAAATGCGCTAAAAAGTCGGGAAAGGATTGTTTTCAACAAATAGTGAATAATAAGTCCTTTTTGAATTTTTGTCTAGTTGAGGGCATATCCATAAATTATGCAGTTATCGTCTTATACAGTTATCGTCGATAATTTTCTACAAATCTCTATTCCATTTGTCTATTCTATTTCTAAAACAAACTATTTCTCCTTTATGGGGGTTAAGATATTCTCAATAAAAGTTTCATTTTATTCTTAAATGAATAGTGTTGAAAAATTTTACGTTATATAAAATTTTGAATTTCGATTAAGTTCAAAATTAATTCAATATTTTCAAATTCCAAAAGTCTGTTAACATGCCAATAATTTTGCAATAATTTAATGCCTCTTTCACTTTAATCAATTAAAGTATACATACATTTTAGACAATTTCATTGATAATTTTAATATTTCGTTAACTTTACTATGACTTTGATCATTAATGCGCTTCTGTAATGAGTTTGTAATCAATTTTATACTTGATCAGTCTTTTTAAATCGTTTTGTCAACTTGTGAAGTCGCATAAAGTTACGTTTTATAAAAAATTAATTAATTAAGCCATTTGTTGGCAACAATTTTATATAGACAACTTACCTAGACACCAAAGAGTAAGAAAATATCAAATTGTATTGATTTTAGGCATTAAATTAATTATTTCCAATATTTTTCTCATATCCACCTTTTCAGGTGAATTGAGCCTAGAAATTCAAAAATTAAATCAGGTTATTTTGTGAATTAAATTCACTGGCATTGATAGAGGAAATATAGATTGAGGAACAGCCAGGAATTGAATAAATTTTGATGAGGAACAATAAATAATTAATAATGACTGGAAATATCATGGATTTTCTTTTCATTTTGGATCTACAGGCTCTATAATCGACGTCAAGTAAGTTGTTCTGTGAATTTGGGTTAAATAAGGCATAAAAGATGAGTTTTTGAGACAATTTACGGCATGTTAAAAATTTAACCCCATAAAAATTAATTTTGTGACTAAGAACAAATTAATTTTTTAACACTCAATTCACTCTGGATTCACATTGGATGTAGTAAAGTGATATAATACATATAATTGAGAAGATATTAAGCATCTAAGTGCATTCTCATGAAGATTTAAAGAAAATTAAACATCCAGTAAAAAATTGTGAGATCCAGAGAAAAAACATCCAGTGAAATTTTTTTAAAGATACAGTTGAATATTTATAGCACGTTTTTTGTATTTGATAGTTTGTGCGTTTTATGAAAGAATTTGGACGATTAAATAAGTCAATTTGTTAATTTGAGATATTTCATTTAAAAAAAATATATATTTTATAGCAAATAGTACGTTGATATTTCTAATGTTTGAAAATCATAGCAAGTTTAAATGGCAAAAGTTCGTTAAATTATTGTTGACATAATTATTGATTGTGAAAAAATCTGATTTTTGTTTGAAAAAATCAATTTAAACTAATTAATTAATGATTGTTTCAGTGAATCAATGTGTTCAAATGATAAAATAGCATTGCGAGATATAGGAAAATTCTCGAAAGTAAGAAATAGTGTACGATTAAGATAATTTTATATTTTTGTCTTGAAAAAGTGAATTTCGATATTAATTTATCACTTTTAAGACTGCAAAATCCCATTAGATAATATAAATTATTAATTAAACAACGGGGAATGCATAAGTGTTGTGTGTAATTAATATAATTAATTCCAAACGAAAAAGTTTGATGAAATCTGATCATAAAATCATATGAAGGAATAAATTAACAGTGTAAAAGAGCTTAAGAAGATAGATTTAATTGTGGATGTAGGAATTGTTCTGTTTGGATGCATCATATTTGTTTAAAATTAATTAATGAACAGAAGATTATTTGAGTAAATAGTTGTGAAGTGATTATTAAGATTGTTGCATTCGTTTGCCAGCTATCGTAAATTTTTAATGCTTAGTGGCAACGTTATTGAAGAATTAATTGTTGATTTGACAGAAGAGTCAAAAGATTTAAAGATGTCTGATGTTAAATGTTTTGTCTGTAATAAATTAATTGAGATAGACATTCATGTATGTTTTGGATGTGAAAATGAATATCACGGAAATTGTTTGAGTGATCAGGAATTACTTACAGTTGAAAATAAGTTTGAATTTTTATGTGAGGAATGTATGAGGATAAAAAATAATTTATTTAAAAGAATGCAATTACAGCCAGGAAATGGAGAATCCCAAGGTGAAGGATCAAGTGAAGTTGCTACTGGAAATGAGTCGACTTTTGCTGTTAAGGCATTTGAGTTTTTCGACAAGCAGTCGGTAATGAAGCTACCAGAAGTTGTTGATACAGACATGTCATGGGTAACATTTTATGAATCATTTGTGAGTACGCAGCATAAATTTACAGATCATGAAAATTTAGTACGAATTCAAGCTGCAATTAAAAATGTTGAAGTTATGAGAATCGGTGGTAAAGGGCTTTTTAACTTCAAGACTTATAAGAGGTGCTTGAAAAATGTTAATGAAAGGTTGAAGAATAATATGAATACAGTCAGTAGTGATGCAAAAGAATTAACAAAGCATCCATCAATTAAGGCTGAACAATATACAAAATTAATTAAATTTATAGACCAGATTCGTAACTTCAATTTTTTGGCTGAAGCTTATAATGACCTAACATACATTACTAACAAAATGTTCATCACTGAGATTGCCGATAAATTTCCAAATTTCATTAAAAATAAGTGGATAGATAAGCATTTTGAAAAGGAATCTCAGAATGAACCTGTCATGTTGAGTCACTTGGTTGAAGTTCTTGATAAAGAACTGCCTAAGTTAGAGCTACGAATGAGAAATGATAAGATGAATTTAGATTCTGATACTAATTCCAATAAATCAAATAAAAATGGTGAAAGGTTTAATAATACTAATACAGATTCTGAAGTTGAAGACGCAGAAGAAGATGAAGATGAAGTAAATAAGCATGAAAGTAAAATAAAATTCGATTCTAATTATTGCTGGTATCATCGTAATAATTCACATCCATCAAACAAATGCAAAGATTTGTGGAAACTTGACGGAAAGTCAGTTTCACAATTAGCTAAGGAAAATTACCGTTGTACATTTTGTGGGCAGAAGAAGCATTATCCATGTCCATTTAACAAAAATATGAAATGTATTGTTGAAAATTGTCAAATGAAACATCATGCACTGTACTGTTATAGCAGAAAGGCTTATAAGAGAGTTGAAGATGATAACACACACAATACTAACAACACTAACAAATCTCTAAATTGTAATTCAGATGAGTCCAACTCAAAATGCTTAAAATCTACCAATAATAATAATAGAAAATCTGATGATCAAAATAGTGATTCAGAAGCTGAGAATGAAGAATTAAAAAAGAGATTCAATAATTTAAAAAGTGATGGATTGTTCACTGATACAATTTCTGAATACACGCGAGTTAATAATTTGATGAAAACAAGAACTTCCAATTTTCATTTAGTTGTGCCTGTTAATGAATTATAATCCAATTAAAGCTTAGTAAATCATAAGCTAGTGTCTTTAGAGGCAAATAAATCGTTGGATATTAATTGTGATACGTAGTTGAAGATAAATGTTCAGAATTTGGAATTTTAATTGTCTTGCATAATTCTTTGTGCGAAGAATTTGAAACACAAGGGAAAGAAATTCTCAGTAATGGTTTAGAAAAGTTAATATTCATTAGACATTGTTATACGATCACAAAGATGATCATGTAGAAATTAAGGCACATAAATGATTATACTTTGAAGTTATGCTTTCATAATATTCTGTACAAAGTAAATTTAATAGTCTTTAATAATTTTATAAGATTCATAAGAATCGAATGTTGGTTCATTAAATAATTGGTGCTTAAAATATGGCACTTGTGATGGTTAATATAATTTATTGGTTCATGTTCTATTTATTTATTTATTGAATGTTTTGTTAATTTAATAATTTATTTTGTGAAAATTGAAATGAAAAGACATTTCTATCACATTTCCATTGAGTCGTTTGAGACATTATATATCAATTTATAGTTGCCAGTCAAAAGTATATATATATGGATTAAAAAGTCAGTCGTGAATAATCGTGAAAGATATATTATGAAGATAGAAATATCAATTAAATTATTTAGCTCGCTGATCAGGGATTAAAATATCCCATTATATCCATCAGTTGTGATAAGTTGATGAAGAAACTGAATAAGTTTGTATGTTTGAAATTTTTTATTAGGGTACCCGAACAGTGTAAATGGTAAGACTGGCCATTTTACTTTAATTTACACACTTGGTGAAAAATTGCGATCGCATACATTATTTATAATGTTTCCGTAGAAGGACATTATATACTGACCTTTGATACAGGCAGTAAATTAAATCTTTTTGTTGACATCAAAAATGATGAGACAAAGAGGAGAGGATCACCACTCTTGATTGGAATGGGTTTCAGCATATGATAATGCTGGAACATATCTACTAACCATTCAGGTTAATGTAAAGTTATTAACCTCAGTTAAATTTCATAAGTTGTATTGATCAGATCATAAGAGCATTAAACATCGAATGTTTCGATATGAATATGAAGATAAGAGAAATAAGAACATAAAGTTCATTATCTCACGATTGCGACTTAATTATTCCCTCTGTGGATATTTGTTCTTTATTTTATTTAGATTGCTGTAGGACTGGACACAATTATCTCCAACAATGATTGGAATGGATCTTGAAGACTCAATGAAGACTGGAATTATAGAACTACATATCTTCCACTGGAATGGCGAGAGAACAGCAGTTGGAAAGAGACATGAACACCAATATCCATCATAAACACAATTCAATTTTAAGTTGATTTAATTTATTTTTGTTAACTAGACAGTTTATCGTATTCAATATCATTTAACATGTAAATCACTTTCTGGCTGGGAGTGTTGAAAAATTTTACGTTATATAAAATTTTGAATTTCGATTAAGTTCAAAATTAATTCAATATTTTCAAATTCCAAAAGTCTGTTAACATGCCAATAATTTTGCAATAATTTAATGCCTCTTTCACTTTAATCAATTAAAGTATACATACATTTTAGACAATTTCATTGATAATTTTAATATTTCGTTAACTTTACTATGACTTTGATCATTAATGCGCTTCTGTAATGAGTTTGTAATCAATTTTATACTTGATCAGTCTTTTTAAATCGTTTTGTCAACTTGTGAAGTCGCATAAAGTTACGTTTTATAAAAAATTAATTAATTAAGCCATTTGTTGGCAACAATTTTATATAGACAACTTACCTAGACACCAAAGAGTAAGAAAATATCAAATTGTATTGATTTTAGGCATTAAATTAATTATTTCCAATATTTTTCTCATATCCACCTTTTCAGGTGAATTGAGCCTAGAAATTCAAAAATTAAATCAGGTTATTTTGTGAATTAAATTCACTGGCATTGATAGAGGAAATATAGATTGAGGAACAGCCAGGAATTGAATAAATTTTGATGAGGAACAATAAATAATTAATAATGACTGGAAATATCATGGATTTTCTTTTCATTTTGGATCTACAGGCTCTATAATCGACGTCAAGTAAGTTGTTCTGTGAATTTGGGTTAAATAAGGCATAAAAGATGAGTTTTTGAGACAATTTACGGCATGTTAAAAATTTAACCCCATAAAAATTAATTTTGTGACTAAGAACAAATTAATTTTTTAACAAATAGTGACACTAGAAATATAGAAATATATAACCCCCCCCCCCCCCCCCCCTGGCTACGCGCTTGGCGGGGACAGAAGGTTACTGATGGTCATTTGGAGAATGAAAAACTTTAAAAGGATCTCAATGAATCGAAATTTATGTAAATGCTGATTAATTTGACATCAGAATAATTGGAAGTTAATGGATGTTGGTTGATTGAGTCATTATCAACTTTACAAGAGTAAAAAAATTATGAAACAATATTTTTGGGAGGCTGTGGGGTGCAGAATTTACTTTTTCATTGAATGTGGGTTTGGTTTTGAAAGGATGATAATTATTAAAAATTGTCAATGAATTCATTATTTTCCAAGAATTGTTAATTATGGCAGATTATCAGCCTTGTGTAAATATGTTGCATATGTTCACGGGGCATATTTTACAGCCAACATATTGATATGTTGTCAGAGTTAATAAGTATGACATGTAAAATATAGTTTAAAATGCTGCCATTGTTTGCTCATTATCGGTCTTATTTTTGCAAAGTCTTTAGTTTTTGAAAATTGTCAAAAAATTGAAATTTATTTGTTTTAAGTTTTTTTGCAAATTGTCAAAAATTAGAATTAATATGGTTGATGATAAAAAGTTTTATGCAAAATATTTATTAAAGCAATAAGTCAAAGTCAAAATTTTTATAGGAAAACTCTTCGTTTTTCTAAACTATTCACACTTACTAGTAAGTTCTACTGAGTTTTGATTATTAGACAATTTGTAAATTCTAGTTACTATTGGAGAATAAGTCATAGAAAGTGATGAAATTTATAACTATTTTCTCGGTTCTATTTGTCAGTGTTATGGCAAAAAGTTGCAGTAAGTAAATCATAAATTCTATCAACTTAAATCTATTAAAAATTATTCAATTAAAGTACATGAATGGCGCATTTATCATGGAACAACTGAACCATTATTATATGGCGTTTTTGTTGGGAACTTCCAAAGTAACAATCCAGCTTTTATTGGTCGTGGAATTCATGAAAATTTACGTGTTACTGGCCGCATTCAGACGGTAAATCCACCTGGATTGTATCATGTCTCATTTGGTAAAATTCATCACATTCCAAAAGGAGTAGAATATTTGGTCAAAAATCCAAATTATGATTACAAATGGATTTCATCAAGTAATGGAGAATATGTAGAAAACGCAATATCACCTGGATATACTCCAGGTCTTGAATTGCATTTTGTTGGACGCATGAAAATTGATGGAAGAACTTATTATGGCAAAGTATTACCAAATGTTGGAATGTACTACGAGGATGGAAATCAAAAGGAAGTCCTTGCATCACAATATCAAATAATTGTTTGTAACAATCCAACCATGGATAATTTTGGAAGAGCTCTGCCAATTGTGCTAAAGTCACAGCAATTGTAGAATTTCATGGACCCTTCATAGCAACTTTATTTTGGAAACTGAACTCCTCGTTGAAGAATATTTGAAAACATATTAATTTTTGTTTAATCAGATTTTAAATTGAAATAAAATAAATGATTTATTATCATTTAAAAGTGTTTAAAGCATAAATTAATGTTATATTGATTCTTTTATTTGATTTTAAGATTTTACAAATTTAGAATTATATTTTTAGACTAGTGAATCCGGTTTTAATCATTTTTGATCAATTTTTGATAATTTTCGAACATTTTTAATAGTTTTTGATCATTTTAGTTCCAAATAATCAGGTTTGATTCCAACAATCTATGATGAGATCATTCTTCAGTTAACTAAGGCAAACTTTATTCAAAAAATGCGATAAATCGATTTTAAACTCTGTCATTTCCTCAATTTCTTCTCATTCTGTTGGCTTCAATCTACTCTTTACATTTTCCATCTTCCTTATCTATTCATAAATTTATCTTACGACAATTTCCATAATGACATAAATTTGTTTTTTAAATGTGTCTCAAGAAAGTCTTTTTCTTTCCTTTTTGTAGATTTGTTTTTTCATCAACATTGAGGGTATGAACAACAATAACAATAGCAAAGGCACAATGGACGTATGAGGGTATTATGGAAAATTGAACAATGTCGTATTTTAAGAACCGAAAGGATGGAAAGTTTATGTTTGAATGCTGGCATGAAGGAAAAGAAAAAAAGGGAGTATTCATTTCAATCGAAGGGAATTTTCAATAAATGACCCCATTTGCCTCATTTGATTTACAAAAATATAGTCAGATGGAAATCTCTCAGGGGACGAATAATTTTTCTTATGTGCACGTCTCATTCGATTCCTTCCTCAATACCATCTTGCTTTATGTCTTTTAAACATCTTTTTCATTCCCCCATGGCTGACATTAAAAATGTTGAGCTCTTCCGATTTCTTTTCTTTTGCAATAAAGCAATTTATTCTGCTCATTTGGCTCATTTGGGATGCATTTAAGACAACGGAACTTTACTTCTTGTGTCAAATTGTCCTAGCGTGCTTAAATTTCCTTTTTTTTCCATCCTGATTCCTCAGTCTTGATGTGCGAATATAAAAAGGAATTGAAAATTTATTGAAAAAAATTCCAATTCGTATTGCTGTCACTGAATCTCAATGACTGTTAGACATATCTCTGTGTACAGATCTCTTTGCGATTTATGTGATTGACTTCTGAGAGGAGAAGTGAGTATGGATTGATGTTGATGTGGAGTTGCCAAGCATTTTTGGAGAATTGAGGCTATGGTGTCTAAATAGAGTTAAATCTGGGATTCAAGCTAAATGTAGACGAATCTACCAGTTTAAGAGTAAGTTAAGTGCTTTGCTGGTCGAATAGGTAAAACACTTGGTTAAAATTTGGGATGGTAACTCGAAGGTCATCGATTCGAATCCAGCCATTTCCAAATTTGTTCTTTTTCGGAAGTTTAGATACTTCGACTGCTTAATGTATGAGATCAAGCCATAATTGGGCATTTGGGCAACGTTGGATTAAGGAACTGGTCAAGAACTTGAAGTGTAGCGGGAGAAATAGGAACGAGAACTACAAGATTACCCACGAATGGAATATTTTTAGAACGGACCTGAAAAGTATCACGTTACGCCCACAGAAGATGGAAACGAGAGCCTTAGTTTATTTGAAACCTAGATTTGAAGATTAGAAGTTTGATCCTACATAATACTAATTCATATGTATACAAATACAAAAGTGTAAAATGTGAATTATTACCGGACAGTATGTCGTCAATAAATGCAATAAAGTGCAATTAAAAAAATGAAGTCCTCACGAGGAAGAATGATTAATCAACAGGCCAGTTATCTACACTCATCTTTTGAGGGACGATTCCCACTAGATGCGGATCTTTTAATTATTACTCTAGAGCAGTGGTTCTCAAACTTTTCAACAAGCATCGACTGTAACGCAATAGGATGAGCGTATGATGTACTAAGCCTGATACGTTTGAGGCACAGAGAAAGATTGTTAACAGAAGCTTATGTATCCCATGATTAATTGGCCATATCTGCACTAGAAATTCATCTTCCATAAAATTGAGTTTCCACAAAAAAAAGGAATTTTTCAGAATAAAGAAAAAGAAAGAAGAACAAAAAGTCAAAAAGGAGGAGGACGAAAAAGAAAAAAAAAACACAAAAAACGAGAAAATTGTCAAACGTATCTAGTTATATCATCGTTCATCGTTATTGGCTACGCCCGATGAATTAGTATTCATGAAATTTCGTTGTTCGCCAAATGCTGCCTTGAATACAAAAAGAAAAATTGCTAGCAATTTGATGATTTGTGATTGCTACATTTTCACCAATATTGATGTCACATCAACATCAGCATTTTAGCTCATTTCTCTTCCAATGATCATTGAAGTAAACATTTGATGAGACATTATGCATTATAACGATGAATAATTACACAATAAATAAGGATTTTTATTATTCCTGTCAGTTCCATTCAAGCGAAACTATTACCGCAAAATAGCAATTTCATTGCAGCCAAATGTGCACTTCTCGTACGATTTTATGACATCAAATGACATTCCTTGAACCTTTTGACATATCTACAAAACTCTCAGCTAGCTCTCGCAGTTTGTTCAAAAATATAATATGAGTAAGTGCTTTTATGACTTTTATGACATTCTGTTCTATCTTTTACTACGTCTCGTTACTAATTCAGGAATAAATGAAGAAGCTTTTGAGTTTAGTTTGGAGAGTGAGGAGAGGTTGGCGCATATTTGAGTGAAAATTGCAGATTTACGAGTTTTACAAAGATTGAATTCAAAATTGATTGGATTTCATTGTGAAGTGGCAACATGATTTGTAACTGTGATTAAGTTCTATAGTCATCGAAGGTTCAAGACTCAAATAAAGTTGCTAAATTAATGAATTGCTAATTATCAAATGGTAAAGACCACTTATTAATGCTAAAATGATGAATTGCGACAAAAAATCTGAAAATTTAATATTGTAGGATTAGTTTGGCATCACACTAATGTCCCTGAAATCCCCAACTTATCATGTAACTTTGGCATCATAAATCAAACCTAGAAAATGCTGGAGCAACACAATAGTTATGTTTAGAGTCAATTTTGAAGCCATACGAGGTTTTAAGCTTATGTGAGTGTCGAATAGCTTTTATTAATCTGCCTATATCTTCGCTATGTTGATCCAGGTGACATCCGTCAATCTTCTATACATATATATATTTTCTTATATCATTGAAACTTAAAATCATTTATATACACATTAAGAAAAGATTAAAGAAGGTTTTTATGCCACGTGAAAAAGTGTAAATCCGGCTTTTCCTTCATTAAATTAATAACTGAATAAATAATAATAATAGGGCAAGACCGTTTTTCGATTAAGTGTCAGATTTTGCTATTATTTCGTTTATATCTCTATAACGAAAATACTTACAGTAAAACTAAACATACTGTTTTATAGAACTTTTTGATGCCTATCTTTTGGTATGTAACTTTTAATTGGAAGTACTATACTTAAGGCTGTAGAGCCTGAAAATAGGCAAAATCTGACACTGAATTTTTGGGAAGGGTATTTGAAATTTTACTAAAACTAGTCTATCTCGCTTAGTTTTACACCGATTTCGATAGTTTTTTCAGCAATAGTTAGTTTAAAACAACAGTTATCATTAAAAAGTAATAAAAACAAAATGGCGACTTAATAAGTTAATTTAATTAATGTTTTTAACCTTATTTTCCTATATTTTACTATCAATTTTTAACTTACTTAACTTTTTTCTTGACACAAATATAGTTTTAGACCTTGGCTTTATGATAGAAGTCAAAAATGTTTGAAAAAAGTAGTATAATTAACTTTTTTTGGTCATTTTGTAAAATTGCCTTTAAATGGCAGTTGAATAGATATTCTTTTAATTTTATGATGTAAAATGATAATTATACATCAAATATGCTTAGTTTTAGCAAAATATATCACAATATAATGTTATAGAACAAGAAAAAAGCAAAAACTTTAAAAACTTTAACCAAAAATTTTCAACCGTTTTTGAAAATTTAATTTTTTGACTTGATTAAAGAGTTGTAAAATAAACTTTTAGTTAAATTAACTAAATTAGAAGGCTTTATTGCAGTAAATTCTTGCAGGAAAGTTGTAATTTATCATTAATTAATGCTTTTTGAGGGACAATAATGAAAATTTCATTAAATTTATATGTAAAATCAATTTTGGTTAATTTAACTAATTTTGTGTATTAATTTGAAAATGTGTGTATGATAAATGAAAGAAAATAAGATTCTCAACAACTTTTATGAACATATCAGCTCCTTTTACAGCTTCCTTCTTGGATAAAAATCACTTTGAATGTTTGATTTAGAAATTAAACTAACTTATAAAGTCGCCATTTTAAAATTATTGGGTTAAAAATTCAGTTTTTATATTTGGCTATAAGCCACTGAAAAAATTGTGACGATTGAATAACTAAACTCTGAGTGAATCAACTTTCAATATTTGTTCACTTTTTTCGCGGTCTTGCCCAATAATAATATATTCACAAAAATTGAAAATTTTGTGTGAATATGATAATAATTTTACTATGACAATCAAGGACGTCACTGAATTGTTTTAGAATTTAATAGGAGTCATGTCCTAGGGATCATCATAAAATACCAGGTTATCAGACCTCCTTACCACTCCCTGTCATGAGTTTAGGATCGAAAAATGTGTTTAGATTGTCACAAAATCACCCAGTTCGACTAGTTTAATAAAGACAGTAACAAAGCTCTCTAAAAACAATTCCACATGCAAGAATCCAGATCTAAAATATTCACAACATTTGGAGCATAATATTTGAAGAATACTAAGCAATATGGCAATGTTAGTGATAGAAAACAACGAGAAGAAAAAAATAAAGTTTCTCTGTTCTGGTTTTACAATTTTCCTGACTTCCATTAAGCCATAATTTATGAGGAAAAAT